GGTGCTCAGATACAACAGTTTAGAAGCATATATAACACCCCTCCAAACTGTCAATATCCCAAACCCCTCCTTTAAAGTGCAGGCATTGTACTTCCCATTTCCAGTACTCAAGTCCAGCTATATAAAAATAACCAGTTTCCCTGAATCCCTTCACTAAATATTACCCTGCTCACACTCCAACAGCTTGTCAGGTTCCAAAAACCATTTGTCTCCATTCACTCCTATCTAACACGCTCACACATGCTTGCTGGAAGTCCAAGCCCCTCGCCCACAAAACCTCCTTTACCCCCTCCCTCCAACCTTTTTAAGGACGACCCCTATCCCGCCTTCCTTACTCTACAGATTTATACGCTCTCCAAGTCATTCTACTTTGATCCATTCTCTCTAAATGACCAAACTGCCTCAACAAGCCCTCTTCAGCCCTCTGACTAATACTTTTACTAACTCCACACCTCCTAATTTCCACACTTTGAATTCTCTGCATAATATTTACACCACACAATGCCCTAAGACAGGACATCTACACTGCCTCAAGCTGCCTCCTTGCTGCAGCATTTGCAACCCAAGCTTCACACCCATATAAGAGAGTTGGTACCACTATACTTTCTTACATTCCCTTCTTTGCCTCCATGGATAATATTTTTTTATCTCCACATATACCTCAATGCACCACTTACCTTTTTTTCTTCATCAATTCTAAGGTTAACCTCATCCTTCATAAACCCATATGCTGACAAGTCAACTCCCAAATATCTGAAAATATTCACTTCTTCCATACTCCTTCTCTCCAATGTGATATCCAATTTTCTTCATCTAAATCATTTGATACCCCCATCAACTTACTCTTATCTATGTTCACTTTCAACTTTCTACCTTTACACACCCTCCCAAACTCATCCACTAACCTTTGCAACTTTTCTTTAGAATCTCCCATAAGCACAGTATCATCAGCAAAAAGTAACTGTGTCAACTCCCATTTTGTATTTGATTCCCCATAATTTAATCCCACCCCAATCCCCAACACCCTAGAATTTACTTCTTTTACAACCCCATCTATAAATATATTAAGCAACCATGGTGACATTACACATCCCTGTCTAAGACCTACTTTTACAGGGAAGTAATCTCCCTTTCTCCTACAAACCCTAACCTGAGCCTCATTATCCTATTAAAAACTCTTTACAGCATTTAGTAACTTACTACCTATTCCATATCCTACTTGCAATATCTGCCACATTGCTCCTCTATCCACTCTATCATATGCCTTTTCTAAATCCATAATTGCAATGAAAACTTCCCTACCTTTATCTAAATACTATTCACATACATGCTTCAATGTAAACACCTGATCTACACGTCCCCTACCCACGCTAAAGCCTCCTTGCTCATCTGCAATCCTACTCCCTGTCTTACCTCTAATTCTTTCAATAATAACCCTACCACACACTTTTCCTGGTATACTCGGTAAACTTATTCCCCTATAATTTTTACAATCTCTTTTGTCCCCCTTCCCTTTATATAAAGGAACTATACATGCTCTCTGCCAATCCCTAGGCACCTTCCCCTCTTTCATACATTTATTTAACAAAAATACTAACCACTCCAACACTATATTCTCCCCTATTTTTAACATTTCTGTCATGACCCCATCAGTTCCAGCTGCTTTACCCCTTTCATTCTACGTAATGCCTCACGTACCTCCCCCACACTCACATCCTGCTCTTCTTCACTCCTAAAAGATGTTATACCTCCCTGGCCAGTGCATTAAATTACTGCCTCCCTTTACATTTAAAAGTTCCTCAAAATATTGCTGCCATATACCCAATACCTCCAGCTCCCCATCAACTAACTCCTCTGCTCTGTTTTTAACTGACAAATCCATTCTTTCCCTAGGCTTTCTCAACTTGTTTATCTCACTCCAAAATTTTTTCTTATTTTCTGCAAAATTTCTTGACAGTGCCTCTCCCACTCTACCATCTGCTCTCCTTTTGCACTCTCTCACCACTCTCTTCGCCTTTCTTTTCCTCTCCATATACTCTGCTCCTCTTAAAACACTTCTGCTTTGTAAAAACCTTTCATAAACTACCTTTTTCTCTTTTATCACACCCTTTACTTCATCATTCCACCAATCACTCCTCTTTTCTCCTGCCCCCACCCTCTTATAACCACAAACTTCTGCCCCACATTCTAATACTGCATTTTTTAAAACTATAACAACCCTCTTCAACCCCCCTACTACTCATTCTTGTATTAGCCCACCTTTCTGCCAATAGTTGCTTATATCTCACTGTAACTTCCTCCTCCTATAATTTATACATACACTTTCACCTCTCTTTTACTTGCTGTTGCCATTTTCCTTTTGTCCCATCTATCTCTTACTCTAACTAGCTACAACTAATCAATGACCCGATATATCCGTTGCCCCTCTATAAACATGTACATCCTGAAGCCTACCCATCAACCTTCTATTCACGAATTCATAATCTAACAGACTACTTTCATTACATGCTATATCATACCTTATATATTTATTTATCCTCTTTTTCATAAAATATGTATTACTTATTACCAAACCTCTTTCTACATGTAGCTCAATTAAAGGCTCTCCATTTTCATTTACCCCTGGCACCCCAAATTTACCTACTACTCCCTCCACAACATTTTTACCCACTTTAGCATTGAGATCCCAAACCACTTGTACTCTCACACTTGGTTCAAAACTTCCCATGCACTCAATCAACATTTCCCAAAATCTCTCTCTCTCCTCTACACTTCTCTCTTCTCCAGGTACATAAACACTTACTATAACCCACTTTTCACATCCAACCCTTATTTTACACCACAAAATCCTTGAATTTATACATTTATATTCCCTCTTTTCTGCCATAACTTATCTTTCAGCATTACTGGTACTCCTTTAGCTCTAACTCTATTTGAAACCCCTGACCTAATCCCATTTATTTCTCCCCACTGAAACTCTCCTACCCCTTTCAGCTTTGTTTCACTTAAAGCCAGGACATCCAGCTTCTTCTCATTCATAACATCCACAATCATTTCTTTCTTATCATTCACACAACACTTTGACGGTTTTCTTCTTTTTCTTTTTAGTAAGCTATACGAGAGAAGGGGTTACTAGCCCATTGTTCCCAGCATTTTAGTTGACTTTTACAACACGCATGGCTTAATGAGGTAAGATTCTTATTCCATTTCCCCATGGATATGAAATGAAAAGAACTAAGAGCAAGAACTATTAAGATAAAATCAAAGAAAACTCAGATGAGTGTGTATACATAAACGTGTACATGTATGTGTAGTGTGACCTAAGTTTAAGTAGAAGTAGCAAGACGTACCTGAAATCTTGCATGTTTCTTTCTTCTTTCTTTCAACACACTGGCCGTATCCCACCGAGGCAGGGTGGCCCAAAAGGAAAAAATTAAGCTTCTCCTTTTACATTTAGTAATATATACAGGAGAAGGGGTTTCTAGCCCCTTGCTCCTGGCATTTTAGTCGCCTCTTACAACATGCATGGCTTACATAGGAAGAATTCTGTTCCACTTCCCCATGGAGGTAAGAGGAAATAAACAAGAACTAGTAAGAAAATAGAAGAAGACCCAGAGGGGTGTGTATATATATGCTTGTACATGTATGTGTAGTGTGACCTAAGTGTAAGTAGAAGTAGCAAGACATACCTGAAACCTTGCATGTTTATGAGACAGAAAAAGACACCGGCAATCCTACCATCATGTAAAACAAATACAGGCTTCCTTTTTACACTCACTTGGTAGTACAGTAGTACCTCCCCGAATGGTTGCTGTCTTCCAACCTACCTATTTACAGCCAGGGCATCCAGCTTCTTCTCATTCATAACATCCACAATCATCTCTTTCTTATCATTCACACAACATCCACGCACATTCAAACATCCCACTTTGATGGTTTTCTTCTTTTTCTTTTTAGTAAGCTATACGAGAAAAGGGGTTACTAGCCCATTGTTCCTGGCGTTTTAGTTGACTTTTACAACACGCATGGCTTACGGAGGAAAGATTCTTATTCCATTTCCCCATGGATATGAAATGAAAAGAACTAAGAACAAGAACTATTAAGATAAAATCAAAGAAAACTCAGATGAGTGTGTATACATAAACGTGTACATGTATGTGTAGTGTGACCTAAGTGTAAGTAGAAGTAGCAAGACATACCTGAAACCTTGCATGTTTATGAGACAGAAAAAGACACCGGCAATCCTACCATCATGTAAAACAAATACAGGCTTCCTTTTTACACTCACTTGGTAGCACAGTAGTACCTCCCCGAATGGTTGCTGTCTTCCAACCTACTACCTATTTACCGCATGGATATTTAAAATATAAAGTTTTACCATGCGAGTACAACTGTGACTAATAAAACTATTTACCAACACATTCTGAAAAAAAAAATTAGTAAGGGACTGATTCCATCAGTGTAATCCTGGGAGGCTTCCCCAGACAAAAATGTATAAAAAAAATCCCCCCCCCTTTTCCTATTAAAAGGCCATTTTTTTAAACTATATAGATGATTCTCCCTTATGACAGATACATTTCACAAAAACCTGGTTTATTTTTATACAAAACCTTCTCATAATCGTATTTACGTACACTGTATGCTTATGCATACCTCCATTAGTCAAGCAATATTACCTATTTTAAAACTGCATGTCAAGAACTGTGCCGACTCAGCCACAGAGCATACAAAAAGAATTCTTTGGCTAGCATCTGCTGTTGTTCAGCTGGAGCTAAACAAACAGAATTTTTCTGTCTGCACAGCTCTCAACCTGCAGTTGCAAGAACAGTAGTTCTGTCCCGAGTATTCCTTCACACAATTCCTTTACTTATATTTATTTGAATTTATCTCTGGAACTTTTAATGTCGCTATGTATACACAGCACTCAGTGTGTAACTTAGACAATAAATTTTTCATTTTATCTGAAATTTTACTCAAGACAAAAATATACAAAACATTACCATACAAGCGTTCCAAATGACAAGGTTGTTTACGGTACTGTGCTTGAAGATCATCAGCATTGTCTATAATATGTTGATACTCAACTGACAAGAAACTTGTGTCAGATTCATGTGAACCTAATTCACGGAGAGCCTCAATAAGCGAGACCTGCAAGATAAAGAATTAATTTAAAAGCCCCTCTTAAAACAAAACCAAAAATATGTACACATGTAATGTATATACATTTTTTTTAACACCGCCTGTCTCCCACCAAGGCAGGGTGACCCAAAAAAGAAACACTTTCACCATCATTCATACTATCACTGTCTTGCCAAAGGCATACAGATACAACAATTCAGATGCCCCTCCTTTAGAATACAGGCACTGCACATCCTATCTCCAGGATTCCAAGTCACCCTATTTTGCTCCATCCTCTCTAAATGACCACACCACCTCAACCTCTCCTCACCCCTCTGGATAACACTTTTAGTAACCCCGCACCTCCTCCTCATCTTCAAACTACGAATTCTCTGCATAATATTTACACCACACACTGCCCTCAGACATGACATCTCCACTGCCTCCAGTCTCCTTCTCACTGCAACATTTACAACCCAAGTTTCACACACATATAAGTGTTGGTGCCACTATATTCTCATACGTTCCCCTCTTTGCCTCCATGGATAACGTTCTTTGTCTCCACAGATGCCACAATGCACCACCCACCTTCCTCCCCTCTCCCTCATCAATTTTAAGCTCACCTCGTGTTTCATAGCCCCATCTACTGACAAGTCGACTCCCAATTAAAAAGAAGAAAAATTACTCTTGAAAGCAAATATAGTAAATTACCTGTTTAGCTAACAATAGCTGAGCCTCTAAACGTGGATGAAGAAGCTGAAGGGCATGAACAACACTTTCCTCATTAACTTCACAGGATATGTCAAGCCGTACCTTCAACAACAAAATTAACTGAAAGTTAAAATTTCCCTTTTTTTTAGAATTAGTAGAGCATTCACTTCCATTTAATTGGACTTAAGTGAAGTAAGATGATTAAAATAATAATAAACTATTTAGATTAAAAAGGCACAATACCATAACTGGAACAATACACAAATAGCCTGCACATAGGAGACAAACTTATTTAGTCTCCACTGTAATAATACTCCCTCTACTGTAATACGAACCATAAATGAACAGAACCAATTGTAAACAGTTTGAATATAATGAGTTACTGGCATACTTGCCACCCAGTGGAAGAAATAACTGGGATTCTCTGCAATGAACTTATTTCATTTTCCCTGTACAATGTTGTGTTCACTTATGCATAAATGATAAATAATGCCTAGATGAAGATGGTGGTAGTGTTAGTAGTATTAACAGTGGCAGTGACAACCAGCCAAATAGTGCTACCCTCCTCTTCCTGTGGTCAAACCTCATTGCCTCCCATTCTCCAGGCACTGTAATGATCTGAAGAGGTTTAATGCAGACTGTACCTTCTTTCGTGTTGCTTCTTTTGTGAGGACATCCTTGAGAATAGAGATAGTGGAAATGTTGTCTGATTTGAACACTGCTTCACCAGATTCATATACACACTGTAACTGTGGAAAAAAAAATATAATAATAAAAACCATTTCTGAAACTTTCAGTATAATTATTCATCAAAACATTTCAAAAATATTATACAAATAAACATTTAAGTAAAATAATGATATAAAGAGCAACAAAAATAAATTTATCTAAGATATAATATAAACAGTCCTAGGTACTAGGTTGGTAGACAGCAACTACCCAGGGAGGTACAACCATCCTGCTGAGTGAGTGTAAAACTGAACCCTGTAATTGTCTTACATAATGGTCTGATTGCTGGTGTCTTTCTTCTGTCTCGTAAACATGCAAGGTTTCAGGTATGTTTTCCTACTTCTACTTACAATTAGGTCACACTACACTTGCATGTACAAGCATATATATATGTGCCCCTCTGGGTTTTCTTCTATTTTCTTACTAGTTCTTGTTTTTGTTTATTTCCTCTTATCTCCCTGGGGAAGTGGAACAGACTAAAATGCCGGGAGCAAAGGGCTAGTAACCCCTTCTCCTGTATACATTACTAAAGTTAAAAAAAAGAGACTTTTCTTTTTTTGGGGGGGAGGCCACCCTGCCTAGGTGGGATTCGGACAGTTTGTTGAAAAAAGAAAGATAATATAAACAGTTACAAATAAACATTTAGATAAGATAATGTGATATAATCAGAAAATTTTCTCATTTCTCCATCTTAATAATACAGTATCACATGCAGTACCTGAGTATCAAGGAATGTTGAAACAAAGGTGAATTCCGCCTGATCCCCAGCTGGTGTCCGCTCTGGCAACTCTGGTAAACAGAACACCACCCATGCATGAATTTCTGGGAGAGTAAACTGGCCCTTGAGAGTTAAGGTGTTGTACGGACGATTTGGGTCAAAATTATGGATTCTGGAGTGGAGAGACAGAGGCTTGATACGGTACTGTCGAACCTGAAGAGAAACCAAAGACACATCATTAAATGGAATCAATATTTTTTTTTTTAACACGTCAGCCGTCTCCCATCGAAGCAGGGCAACCCAAAAAAGACAGAAACACTTCACCATCATTCACACAATCAGTCTTTGCAGAGGTGTTCAGATATTTTTGTACATACATATAATCATCTTCACGCTACTAACCCTAATAATTAACTCTTATAGTTTTCTTCAGTGACATGAATATTTTCAATTCAACTTGTTTTATTTATCATTTCAATTATCACTACCTGCCAAATAAATGCTAATTTTAGCAGTGTAACTGCACATATTGTGTAATCATCTCTCATAATTTCATTTTTCTTTTTAGGTCACCCTGCCTCAGTGGGATACTGCCAGTTTGTTGAAAAAAAAAATTATGAAAGGACTGTTTCAGTGTCCTTCAGCATTTCTCTGTTTATAACTTTGGTCTCTTATTCTCCAAATTCACAGTCTTAAAAAAACTTTCTTTATCCATTCTTTCATATTCTTTTATGACCTTATGTAATATGAGCCTGTCATTTCTCTTTTATCCTTCTACATTATTATTATTATAATCAAAAAGAGTACTAAACCCACTAGGGTCATACAGCACTGTTATCCTTCTACAGTATTAGCCAATGATGGCATTGTTTGTTTTTTCAGTTTTTACTTGTAAATTAATTTTATCTAGCTCTTGAAGTCATTTTGCAGCTTATCTCTGAACTTTTTTTTATCCTGTCTAAATGTTCTTTTAGTAGTACAGCAAACCTCGATATAAAGGACTAATAGGGGTGTCTGTTATATCAGAATGATGATAAAAAATAATAAAACAAATGCTCTAAAATATTCTACTCTACTCTAATATAGTACTATACACACAATTTACAAATATACTGCAATAAAATAAAAGTGTTAAAAGTACAATTCAGCCAGTGGATTGTGCCTATAATTTTAAAAGTCTGTTATATGAGGGTCTGTTACATCGTGGGTTTACTGTACAACTATGGCATATTAAGTATTTCTAATAATGTTACCTTTCCTCTTGCCTGAAACATTAAGCATGCAAGGACCTACTTAAATGTCTATATACTAAGCTTTATTTTATGTACCAGTACCAGTATTTATGAACATTAATTTTGTAAATAGGTTTGCAATTGAATTAAAATGAATAATAATTAAGACGGCAATTAAATGAATGATGGTGACTGTTTCCTTCTTTGGATCACAATACCTTGGCAGGAGACAGCTGTTAAGGTAAAAAAAAGAGCAATAACCACCACTCACACATGTTAGTATGGAAAAAACAACACTACTGTACATATACATATTCTCCTATACACTTCCAGCATATGAATACTTATGACAAACTCCCATATATTATTTTTCAGATACAATAAATAAAATATATTGTTCACTACTAACTTGGCAACATTTAGGTTGGAGTCTTGGAGTGATGTATGCTTGAAGAGTACCATATTGCCCCTCAATTGTTCTAATGCGAACTTCCAATCGTGTGGTGTTGGCCTGGCACCGGTAGGTTGCTAGAAGGAAATTTCCGGTCTAAAGCAAAAGGAAAAAATATAATATAGTAATATAGTAGCAGGGTAATATTTAGTGAAGGGATTCAGGGAAACCGGTTATTTTCATATAGTCGGATTTGAGTCCTGGAAATGGGAAGTACAATGCCTGCACTTTAAAGGAGGGGTTTGGGATATTGGCAGTTTGGAGGGATATGTTGTGTATCTTTATATGTGTATGCTTCTAAACTGTTGTATTCTGAGCACCTCTGCAAAAACAGTGATAATGTGCGAGTGTGGTGAAAGTGTTGAATGATGATGAAAGTATTTTCTTTTTGGGGATTTTCTTTCTTTTTTGGGTCACCCTGCCTCGGTGGGAGACGGCCGACTTGTTGAAAAAAAAAAAAATACATTATAAATAAATGTGAGCTATTGTGAGTTTGTTATATGCACCCACGTTCTGCATGGGCTAAATGTATTTTTTTTTTCAACAAGTTGGCAGTCTCCCACTGAGGCAGGGTGACCCAAAAAGAAAGAAAATCCCCCAAAAGAAAATACTTTCATCATCATTCAACACTTTCACCTCACACATAATCACTGTTTTTGCAGAGGTGCTCAGAATACAACAGCTTAGAAGCATATACGTATAAAGATACACAACATATCCCTCCAAACTGCTAATATCCCAAACCCCTCCTTTAGAGTGTAGGCATTGTACTTCCCATTTCCAGGACTTGAGTCCTGGAAATGGGAAGTACAATTTCAGCAATGATGAAGATAATGATAATACTGAAACAAGCCATTTATGATCCTATAAGCTTCCTTAGAAAGTTTGGACAGGGAAGAAAGTAACAATCTAAGTAATAAAGATGCAATCAGCTACTGGGATAATGATGCTGGTGAAGAAAAAATTGTGGCAAATATATGTATATTTTTTCATGTCTCTCCTCAGTAACAAAGGTTCAGTATTACTATTTTTTTTAAAGAGATACACTAACACAACTCAGTTACAAAGTCTACAACTTCTCCACTTACCTCAGAGTCACAGGTGCTGTAACTAACAACAGCAGAATTTTTCTCAACATCCAGCAGATCAACAGGGACATCACTTTGCAGCAACACATTGTCAATAGCTGTCTGAACCTCTAGACTCAAGAGGTACGAGGCATCGGTGCGATTAAGGGTCAGCTATCAAAGAATGAATACAGATTAAATCCTAAAGGACAGTATACTTGTTTTACAGATTTTTTTTTTCAACCCGTCGGTCATCTCCCACTGAGGCAGGGTAACCCAAAAAGAAAGAGAATCCCCAAAAAGAAAATACTTTCATCATCATTCAACACTTTCACCTCACTTATACATAATCACTGTCTTTGCACAGGCACTCGGATACAACAGTTCAGAAGTTCAGATATTTTATAAAACATGCAGTACACTGAGTTAGTGATATAATCAGAATCATACAACCTGCTTCCTTAACCCCTTGACTGTCGCAACCCCAAATCCTGAGGTGTCTCCTGGTGTCAAAAAATTTTTGAAAAAAAAAAAAAATTATTTTTTTCTTATGAAATGATAGAGAATCTTTTCTCGATGGTAATGACACCAAAAGAACAAAATCTGATGGAAAACTTACGGAGTTAGGCTCACGAAGTTAGTGACCTTGGCGATATTTATGAATCAGCGATTTCGCCCACTCTGAGCCCTATTTTTGGCTAATTCCATTGTTCCAGTTGACCAAACTCATAGCTATTTCTTTACAAGAAATACAAGAAACTGCCCATTTACCGATTTCAACTACCCAATAACGTGGTCAGAAATTTGCAATTTGGCCAATTTCACACAAATTAAAAAATATGCCAATTTCAAAATAGGGTCCAGAATGAACAATGCAGACATTCCTGGCTCTAAAATAACATTTTCTTTGTTCATCAGTCACATCTCCAGGACCCTCTGATATTACTCTTACTGTCTATTTTGAATTTTTATTCAAACAAAAAAATAGAAGAGTTATTGTTATGCAGACTACTGCAATATTGTAATACTTGTATAAATAATGTCAACCCATTCATGACTGCATATTAGAATGGCTAGTTGGACATTTATTGGACAATGCCATAATTTGTTTACTTTTGAACATTGGCAAAAATCAAACATTTCCCCTACTTTGAGCTCCATTTCAAGGTTTTTTCATAGTAAAACCAATCAAAATCACCTTTATTTCTATATGTTTTCCATTCTATCAAATGAGACCAAGAAAACGAGAATACAGCCATAAATACTATACGAAAATACACCACAAAGTCGGCGCTTTAATCCAAAAACACGGTCTGAGTTTTTTTTTCTCATTATGCACTGCGTGCTGCAGGATTTTTTTTTATATGGTACACACTGACCACACAGATCCATTCTCTCACATGTGGGTCTACCAGCTTTCCCCTGCTTGATTCGAAGCCGCTAGAATTTTTGAGCATATATACGTCAAACACGGTGGCTCGTAAGACGTATATATACGTCCGAAACAGTCAAAGGGTTAAAAGTAATATAACAGGCAACATGGCAATGACATCCCTAACATTTTAGTCATTTTTTTTTTTCAACATGCCAGCCATTTCCCACCAAAGCAATGTGGCTCAAAAAAAGAAACACTTTCACTATCGTTCACACATAATCACTGTCTTTGCAGAGGCGCGCAGATATGAAAGTTCAGATATCACGTCGAACATCAAATAATGTATCCCAAACCCCTCCTTTAAAGCGCAGAAATTGTACTTCTTACCTCCAGGACTCAAGTCCAGCTAACCAGTTTCCTTGAATCCCTTCACAAAATATTACTCCGCTCACACTCAACAGCTCGTCAGGTCTCAAAAACCATTCATCTCCATTCACTCCATTCTAACACGTTCACACATGCCTGCTGTATATCCAAGCCCCTTGCACACAAAACCTCTTTTACCCCCTCCCTCCATCCTTTCCTAGGATAACCCCTACCCCTCCTCCCCTCCACTACATTTTAGTAATTTTTTTTTTTTAACCCGTTGGCCGTTTCCCACCGAAGCAGGGTGACCCAAAAAGAAAGAAAAACCCCAGAAAGAAAGAAAAAACTTTCATCATCATTCAACATATTCACCATCATTCATACATAATCACTGTCTTGGCAGAGGTGCTCAGTTATGACAGTTTAGATGTCCCTCCCAAACTGCCAATATCCCAAACCCCTCCTTTACAGTGCAGGCATTGTACAGGTCTCCCTCAACAGTCGCGTTTTCAACTTTCGCGGGCTTCACACATTCGCGAATTCCCAACCGCCAAATTTCCAGCTGCCAAATCATATTTAAGTTTACCGCCACGAGTCCTTACTACCCTCCCTCCGACCCCTGCAACTGGCAGCCAGCCCTCCCACCACTGTGTGGTGAGTGTTTTGTTTGTTCATTATTTGCTATTAAACTACAGTATAAATAATGTAAACCCATTTATGACTGCATATTGGAATGGCTATTCGGACAGGTATTGGAAGGTGACATCATGTGTTTACTCTTGAACACAGCAAAGAATCAAACATTTCTGCTACTGCTAATAATAATAATAATAATAATATTAATATAATAATAAATAATAATAATAATAATAATAATAATAATAATAAATACGATAGAATTGAAGAAGGAAATTGTACAAAAATACGAGGGTTGAAGCAGTGGTGGAGGAAGTGGTTGACGCATCGTCAGTGTGGCTTTGTTTATGCTGGAGTGAGTATTAGTCTCCGTGCTCTTCCAAACATTTCACAATGATTCATTGTATTTGGTGCTTGTAGATTGAGTGTGACTGGAGTGGTTGAGGCAGTGTTAGAGGCAGTGGGTGAGGCAGTGGTAGAGGCAGTGATAGAGGCAGTGGTAGAGGCAGTGGTAGAGGCAGTGGGTGAGGCAGTGGTAGAGGCAGTGACAGAGGCAGTGGGTGAGGCAGCAGCTGAGGCAGTGGTAGAGGCAGTGGTAGAGGCAGTGGGTGAAGCAGCAGTTGAGGCAGTGGGTGAAGCAGCAGTTGAGGCAGTGGTAGAGGCAGTGGTAAAGGCAGTGGGTGAGGCAGTGGTAGAGGCAGTGGTAGAGGCAGTGGTAAAGGCAGCGGGTGAGGCAGTGGTAGAGGCAGTGGTAAAGACAGTGGTAGAGGCAGTGGTAGAGGCAGTGGTAGAGGCAGTTATTATTATTATTATAAATGTTATTAATATTAACATGTACTATTATTACTTATAACATATATGTTAGTAAATACCACTGCCTCACCCACTGCCTCTACCACTGCCTCACCACTGCCTCTACCACTGCCTCATCCACTGCCTAACCCACTGCCTCTATCACTGCCTCATCCACTGCCTCACCCACTGCCTTTACCACTGCCTCTACCACTGCCTCAACTGCTGCCTCACCCACTGCCTCTATAACTGCCTCTACCACTGCCTCAACCACTCCAGTCACACTCAATCTACAAGCACCAAACACAGTGAATTATTGTGAAATGTTTGGAAGAGCACGGAGACTAATACTCACTCCAGCATAAACAAAGCCACACTGACGATTCGTCAACCACTTCCTCCACCACTGCTTCAACCCTCGTATTTTTGTACAATTTCCTTCTTCAATTCTATCGTATTTATTATTATTATTATTATTATTATTATTATTATTATTATATTAATATTATTATTATTATTATTATTATTATTATTATTATTATTATTTATTATTATTAGCAGTAGCAGAAATGTTTGATTCTTTGCTGTGTTCAAGAGTAAACACATGATGTCACCTTCCAATACCTGTCCGAATAGCCATTCCAATATGCAGTCATAAATGGGTTTACATTATTTATACTGTAGTTTAATAGAAAATAATGAACCAACAAAACACTCACCACACAGTGGTGGGAGGGCTGGCTGCCAGTTGCAGGGGTCGGAGGGAGGGTAGTAAGGACTCGCAGTGGTGGAGGCAGTGGTATTTAATAACATACATGTTGTTAAGGCATAAAGTATGTATTTAGTACAATTTACGACGTTTTCATGTATTTTATGATTGTTCATGGTGCGACACGTTAAGGAAGCAGTACTGTATTATATTTCCCTACAATATATTGGGGCACCAAACATTCACGGTTTTTCAACATCCGCGGGGCTTTTGATCCCCTAATCCTCGTGAATGTTGAGGGAGACCTGTACATCTCTTCAAATTATAACAAAAAATAAAATATACAATAGACTATTGTTTAGCACGGTAGCTATGTTCCTGAAAATAGCGTGGTAGTTAAAACCATGTTAGACAAACTGAAGAATAGATGGGAAAAATAGGGTTACATTCCTGGGAACCCCCAAAAAGCCAAACAACTTTTTTTAGCCAACAGACCTTACAAAAATAAAAGTGAATATGTAATTGTAGTTCATTGTCATGATGTATTATGTTGTTTTTACTGCTTAATAAGATTACAAATGCAACAGAAATAACAGTATTTCTTACCTTAAATTGTGGGTGCTGGTGTTTGTGGATAATTGTAGAGTGGAGAGTTATGCTGTGGCTGGGCTGATGTGGATGGTAGAGGTTCAGGTACTGAAGTCAATGGTTGTACTGGAGTGTGCATAAGAGTGTGCATAAATCAGTCAAGTCAGTCAGTCAGTCAGTCAGTCAGTCAGTCAGTCAAGTCAGTCAGCCAAGTCAGTCAGCCAAGTCAGTCAAGTCAGTCAGCCAAGACAGTCAAGCCAGTAAGTCAGTCAAGTCAGTAAGTCAGTCAGTAAATCAGTCAGTCAAGTCAGTCAGTCAGTAAATCAGTTAGTCATCGCACAAACTCATATTTACGTACTCATATTTACCTAGCAGAGGATGGTCCTACATTTGTATGAACCCAAGGGTGGTAGGAGTGGTGGTGGGGGTGGCAGGGGATGGCAGTAGGTCTCCCCCGTTGACTCAATGGTCTAAACCACAGCCAGGCCGAGTGTATCCTGCGGGCTATGCTTCAAATTTTTCCCCTCCCGCAAACTGAACCATGTTAAGTTAATTTTACGAAGTGTTATACAAAAATATGCCGCAATTCTTCAACAGTGCTATAACCAAAACATGCCAAACAAAATCGTGTTAAACAACTGTCTACTGTAATTCAAATACAGTGGACCCCCGCATAACGATTACCTCAGAATGCGACCAATTATGTAAGTGTATTTATGTAAGTGCGTTTGTACGTGTATGTTTGGGAGTCTGAAATGGACTAATCTACTTCACAATATTTCTTATGGGAACAAATTCGGTCAGTAATGGCACCTGAACATACTTCAGGAGTGAAAAAATATCGTTAACCGGGGGTCCACTGTAGTATAAATCTGAATAATGAGACCACCTCAGGGAATTCATTATTCAAACTAATAGAGACCCAGAAGTAATAATTTTACCTTATCATTGACGGAGAAAAAAGGCACAGCAGAGATGCCAGGGAAGGCACTCTGAGTGGCAGCTTGGTACTGGTCTCTCTCCCTCAACACTCGCTGCTGCAGCTCATCAATTTCAGCTCTGACCATAATAATATTAACAAACTGATTAATCAATGAATAACTGCTACCCTCCCTCACATAAACTATAGAATTACAGTACAGTGAAAGATAATACACTCACAACTTATTTCTCATGAATTACAAAGAGGAATCATATTTTTCATATATGTAAATTAATACAGTGGACCCCCGCATAACGATTACCTCTGAATGCGACCAATTATGTAAGTGTATTTATGTAAGTGCATTTGTACGTGTATGTTTGGGGGTCTGAAATGGACTAATCTACTTCACAATATTTCTTATGGGAACAAATTCGGTCAGTACTGGCACCTGAACATACTTCTGGAGTGAAAAAATATCGTTAACCGGGGGTCCACTGTATCTTTAGGATTCCAAAACATGGTCTCTACTTCCTGTACTGTTTACCTTGTACATAACATCTCTCAATTTTTTTTTTAACACGTTGACCGTCTCCCACCGACTGGCAGGATGACCCAATAAGAAAAAACTTTTATCATCATTCAACGCTTTCACCATCACTCATACATAATCACTGTCTTTCAAAATATTATCATTATCATCATACTGAAAAATTTATGGAGCATTTTAAATGATGCATAAAAAATTATCAGAATCAATCTGATTATCTTACCACTTGCATTTTACATGTAAAATATTTTTCTTGATATATCACGAATGAGAAAGATTTTCTCTAAGAGAATTCAAATAAGAAAATATACAGAGGTGTGCCAGGCTTAGCAGCTGTGTTCCAGGTCCATGGCAACTATACTAAGCTTTATCATGCCATCAACACTTGATTCCAGATAATAAAAGCTTTCAGCGTGTTTTGCAAACTACACCGATCTCATATGAAATTACTGATAGCATAGTAGTGAATTTGATAAAGTGCATCTGCATATAGGGAAGGAAAACCTGTACAGTATCATCAAAAAAGAGCATCTACAAACACATCCACGAGTGCAGACATGCAAGAAACAAGGAGAAGAAATTTAACGTAACATTTTTATCCTGGATCATTATTACTGATGGATCAAAGCGTTGTCTGAGGTTACCGATCAAAATTGTGGGTTAGTTGTGAAATGTTCCAGCAGTGTATTGTGACTTTTATTCCTCATTAGATCAATTGCTTGAGTCTGTTTCCAATGTATTACATAGTCTTCTAAGAGTAATTTAATGTAAGCATAAGGAACAAGTGATTCAATGAATAAAGATGGACGAAGATAAAATCATCCCAAACTGTGCAAGAGTTTATAAAATAGAAAAAGAAACAAATAATTTTACACAATAGACAATTATCGCCAATAAAAAAATACTGTATATAAATGGTGACAATTTTTAAAGCATCCAAACCAATGCAAAAGCAAAACAAAAATAAAGAATGCACAAAAAGTTACACATGAAGACATTATTACAAAGAATAAAAAATTATATGTAAATGATGTGAGAAGCAGTGGTACCTCAGTCTCTGTATCTTGTGTTTCGAGTCTTGTGAAATAAGAACAACCCCCGACTCGGAGGTCATGTTGCGGTCCATGGGCTCCGATGTTACACCAAATATCCACCCTGGCAGTTAGTACTAAAAGTATTATCTGAGATTTCACTTATCCTCTTCTACACATATTTTGAAAGCTCCTGTGCTATGCAGATTTATGTGAAATCATATCTTAAATTGGTGAATTAATCATTGGTGAGCAGGTCATCTCAGAGTTAATGAAGACAAGTGATTTTCTAGATATGACGTTCTGTCAGAATGTGAGTAAAGTAACATTTATGAAGGGATTCAGGGTCATCATCCCAATGTCCATGTCCTGGGTCAGGTGTCCTGATCAGTCAGGCTCCAGGTGCAAATAGTAAGTGAAATGTACTAGGAAAGGAGGTAGTAGAAGCTAACTTAACATACAAGTTCACATGTGAATATGACAGTGCTCATGGAGCTCTGGAGACATCACACTTGTTTGGTAGTAAGAAACATGGTGCAGTTCAAGCATTTAAAATAGAAGACATTTCATTCTGTGGTGACCTTTATCAAGTCATGACCTGATAAAGCTCTACATAGATCACATCATGACCTAATAGAATTCTACACACAACAAAAGATAGCCTACAATAAAGATTTGAATTGCACCAAGTGTCTTTTACCGAAAAAAGTTGGCAATACCTGCCATTCAACATTACACTAGTTAAATATGAATAATATTTTCATATTCTACTAATCTTATGTCTTACTTTTAGCTTAACCAAAATGATCTGCATAACAAGAGACTCTCCATATGTACTGTACTATTAAATGTCAGGTAACTTTGTAAAAATTATGCACCTCGTGGAAATAAAATATTATTATTGTTATTTATCATTATTAATATTATTATTATTATTATTATTACTCAAGAGTTGGACCTTTACCCTTATGAACACGTGTATTCACAGTTATACTTGCCTAACTGTGCTTCCTATGTCAATTCATAGCTCCTGGCCCCCCAACTTAACTCCTGGTCTCCAGGTCCCAGTCATAACTACTCTTGAAGCTATCTACAGTAATTTACCTTCATTACCTCTTCATCTAATGCATTTCACTTACACACTGGTGAGTGCACAGCATAATTATATCAATGAAAAATATCTATCACAAAATCCACTAGTTTTGTATTTACCCCAAAATTTAACCAAAAGTAATTTGTAATTACAGCACACTGAAATTATAAAACACAACCACAACATTCTTTTCTATGATTCAAATCTAACCTTTTACTTTCTATCTTTCTTAAAACATAGTTTTGTTAATTTTAATTTGGGAATAACTTTTAAAATTTTTAGATTTATTAAGAAAGTCTAAGTCAGCCTACACAATCTTTTTTTCAATAAATGCAAAAATTTCAGTGCCAATCAAAAATTTCTTAAATATCTAAGTAAACACTACAAAATTTTCTTAATTTTGCTATACAGTGGACCCTCAGTTATCATCGATCTCCGTTACCGCCGATTTCGGTTTTGGCTGACTTTTTTCGTCAATTTTTGGCTTCTGTTTTCATCGATCATGTGGAACCTGTCCAGTGCCCAGTGAACAGACAAAGCCGCCTCCCACACACATTCTCAGCCAGTGTAGCGTTGTTTTTCGGTGAGTGAACATATCCTGCCAGGTCATACGAAACATTTCATAATAATCCATTGTTTTTGCCACTTGTTTATCATGTGTGACTGCTAAATAAGTGACCATGGCCCCATAGAAAGATCCTAGTGCCAGTGCTTTGGTAAAGGAGGTGAGGAACACCGAAGAACTGAAAAAAGAAATCCTAAGAAAATATGATAGTGGCATATGCATTGCTGAGCTCGGCAGGATGTACAGGAAGTCACCATCAACAACCAGCTCCATTGTGGCAAAGAGAAAAGAAATCATGGAAGCTGATGTTGCGAAAGGGGTGAATACAATAACCAAACAGAGATCCCAAACAATTGAAGAAGTGGAGAAATTGTTGTTGGTGTGGATCAGAAAGAATTAGTAGGAGATAGTGTTGTGCAGTCCATTATTTGTGAAAAGGCAAGGCAGATGCAATGAGGGTCTCGAAGAAACTGCCTGAAACAAATGGTGATGAAGGTGTATTCAAGGACAGCAAAGGCTGGTTCGAAAATTCAAGAAGCGAAGTGGCATACACAGCGATGTAAGGCTGTAAGACTTCAACATCAACCTTGGCATACTAGATGATCAGCCTGTAACTGATTTCATCAACAATATGAACAACACACTTCTCATACCAACAATAACTAAACCAACCAGGCTCACTGAGACAAGTGCAACCATAATAGACCACATATGGACCAATATACTAGCCCCCCTTAAATCAGGGATAATCACAGATAGCACTACAGACCACTACCCTACCTTCCTCCTGACAAACATTAGTAAACCACCACTTGAATACAACAAAGTCTCATTTAGACTCCATGATGAGGCCTCAATAAGGAAGTTCACAGCTGACCTAGAGACTGTTGACTGGCCTACAGAATTCTCCAAGGTCAATGGTATTCATGACTGGACTGACATTTTTCTTAACAAATTACTTAGACTATACAACAAACATTGTCCTATAAAAACGAAACAGATCACAAACAAACGGCTTGGTTGCCCATGGCTAACCAGCACCATTCTGAAATCCATTGGCAAGAAACACCAATATGAAAAGCAATATAGACAGGGCTTAATACACAAAGATATTCTTAAACACTATTCATCAGTTCTCACCAAAGTAATAAAGAAAGCCAAACAACTATACTACTCCAGTAGATTCACAGACACTAGAGGAGATATAAAAAAGACCTGGAAAACACTCTCTCAGATTCTAGGGACCCACAGACCGAAAAAAACAAGAATATTGTCCTAACTAAACCTAATGAAACACCACTACAGCCCACTGACACAGCTAACAAGATAAACGACTTCTTCTCAACCATAGGAACTCATCTCGCCAATAAAATCCCACATACCAACGCCCATGCCGGGGACTACCTAGATGGGAATTTCCCAAATTCCTTCTATCTCGCACCAACTGAGCCCACAGAAGTCACCGAGATTATAAAGTCACTTAAAAATAACTCAGGGAATCTGTCTCATGTCCCACCATTACTGTACAAGCGAGCGGCCCATGTCCTTTCGCATGCTATTTCATTACTTTTTAACAAGTCACTAGAAACTAGCACCTTCCCGAAACTACTCAAGATGGCAAGGGTTACACCAATACATAAAGGTGGTGACCCTACAGACTTAAACAACTATAGGCCAATATCAAACTTACCATTGCTATCCAAAATCTTTGAGAAACTCATGCACAGGAGACTATATTCATTTATAACGGCACAAAACATACTCAACCCCTGCCAATTTGGATTCAGGAAAAATAAAAGCACTAATGATGCAATCATAAAAATGCTAGATCTGCTTTACACAGCATTGGAAAATAAGAAATATCCACTAGGAATTTTTATTGACCTAAGAAAAGCTTTTGACACAGTAGACCACGACATCCTACTTCACAAACTTGACCATTACGGTATACGAGGCCATGCGCTTGCTTATTTCAAATCTTACCTTACCTGATACTGGAGTGCTGCAGGGAAGTGTCCTTGGTCCCCTGCTCTTCCTCATATACATCAATGATCTTCCAAACGTATCCCAACACCTGAAACCCATTCTCTTTGCTGACGACATGACTTATGTCATCTCTCACCCTAATCTTGCCACCCTCAACACCATTGTTAACGAGGAGCTGATCAAAATATCGACTTGGATGACAGCCAATAAACTTACGCTTAACACTGACAAAACCTACTATATTATGTTTGGTAGCAGTGCAGGAGATGCACAAATTAACATTAAGATCGACAACACTCTAATTACCAGACATAATGAGGGCAAATTCCTAGGCCTATACCTTGACAACAACCTGAATTTCAGCACCCATATCCAACACATAACCAAAAAAGTATCCAAAACGGTTGGGATCCTCTCCAAGATACGATACTACGTGCCGCAAAATGCCCTTCTCACACTATACCACTCACTTATTTATCCATACCTCACCTATGCTATTTGTGCTTGGGGATCAACTGCAGCAACACACCTAAAGCCAATAATAACCCAACAAAAAGCTGCAGTAAGAATAATCACTAAATCCCATCCCTGGCAACACCCCCCCCCCCCCCACTCTTCATAGATCTAAACTTACTCCCTGTTCAGTACATCCACACTTACTACTGTGCAATCTACATCTACAGGACCTTAAACTCCAATATCAACCCTTTACCTAAAATGCTTTCTTGATAGTTGTGACAGAACCCACAGGCATAACACCAGACACAAACATCTCTACGACATTCCCAGTGTCCGACTAAACCTTTACAAAAATTCCATGTATGTCAAAGGCCCTAAAATCTGGAACACCCTACCTGAGAACTCTAGAACTGCAGACACATTCATCACCTTCAAAACTACCATTAGAAAACATCTTATCTCCCTGATACACCCCGTCAACTAACTACACGAATACCACCTGGTGGTTCACACTTACACTCACTCACCCATTTGACCATAAACAGAAATATTAATCTCAATCTTAACCCTTTGACTGTCGAAGGGCCAAATCCTGAAGTTGCTTCTGGTGTCGCAAAATATTCGAAAAAAAAAAAATTATTTTTTCTTATGAAATGATAGAGAATCTTTTCCCGATTGTAAAGACACCAAAAAAACGAAATTTGATGGAAAACTGACGGAATTACGCTCTCGCGAAGTTAGCGACTTCGGCGATATTTAAAAATCGGCAATTTCGCCCACTTTGAGCCCTATTTTCGGCTAATTCCGTTATTCCAGTCAACCAAACTCATAACTATTTCTTCAGAACTCTATTTTTTCTATCGATTGAGTACAAGAAACTGCCCATTTTACCGATTTCAACTACCCAATAACATGGTCAGAAATTTGCAATTTGGCCAATTTCACGAAAATTAAAAAATACGACAATTTCAAAATAAGGTCCAGAATGAACAATGCAGACATTCCTGGCTCTAAAATAACATTTTCTTTGTTCATCAGTCATGTCTCCAGGTCCTGTGATATTACTCTTGCTTTTTATTTTGAAATTTTATTCAAACAAAAAATAGAAGATTTACTGTTATGCAGACTACTGCAATACTGTAATAATTGTAAAAATTACATCAACCCATTCATGACTGCGTATTAGAATGGCTATTTGGACATTTATTGGACAATGACATCATTTGTTCACTTTTGAACATCGGCAAAAATCAACATTTCCCGTACTTTGTGCTCCATTTCCAGGTTCTTTTTATAGTAAAATTAATCAAAATCACCTCCATTTCTATAATATAGTTTCCATTCTATCAAATGAGACCAAGAAAACGAGAATACAACCACAAATACTATACGAAAATAGACCACAAAGTCGGCATTTTAATTAAAAAAAACGGTCGGAGTTTTTTTTTTCTCATTATGCACTGCGTGCTCCAGGATTTTTTTTATGTGGTGCACACTGACCACACAGACCCATTCTCTCACATGTGGGCCTACTAGCTTTCTCCTGCCTGATTTGAAGCCGCTAGAATTTATGAGTACATATACGTCAAACACGGTACCTCGCAAACGTATATATACGGCCGCGACAGTCAAAGGGTTAAAATAATGAATCCTGTGATACTCCAATACTGAAACTATGTACTGTGCCAAAACAAAAGCATTCACATTGCTAAACTCACAAACTAGTATTTAGTCACTTAGCCATAATACCAACTTACCTCATAATTTGTAATACTTTAAAATTAAGAATTAAACTAAGTCTACCCGAAATGCCTAGCCATGCTAGGTGTTCTAGTGGTACACTCTGTAATCATTATTTTACTACATGTAAACCACACAATAACCAAATTCTGTAAACTCAGCATTGTAATCCTTATAGAGAATAAACTTTGAATTTGAATTTGAATTTGAAGGTGAGGGTGCCAGTTCAGACAAACACGCAGCTGAAAAATTCGTAAGGGAATTCAAATGTTATGTAGAGTCTGAAAAGTTCCAACCCCAACAAGTGTTCAGTCGAGACGAAAGAGGCCTCTTTTGGAAGAGAATGCCAAAGAAGACCTACATCATGCAGGAGGAAAAGGCACTGCCAGGACACAAGTCTATGAAAGACAGGCTAACTCTCTTGTTGTGTGGTAATGCTAGTGGGGATTTTAAAGTGAAGCCTTTACTGGTGTATCACTCTGAAAATCCCAGAGTGTTCAAGAAAAACAGTGTTGTGAAGAGTAAATTGTATATAATGTGGAAGGCAAACAGTAGGGCATGGGTCACCAAGGAAATTTTCCTGGAATGGTTTAATGAAGTGTTTGGCCCCAGTGTGAAGAAATACCTCCTGGATAATAAATTGCCACTCCAGTGCCTCCTGTTAATGGACAATGCTCCTGCTTATCCTCCAGACTTGGAAGACCAATTGTCTAAGGAATTCAGTTTTGTAACAGTGAAGTTCTTGCCTAACACCACTCCTCTCCTCCAGCCCATGGACCAGCAGATCACTGCAAACTTCAAAAAACTGTACACTAAAGCAATGTTTCAAAGGTGCTTTGACATAACCTCGGACTCTGAATTGACCCTAAGAGAGTTCTGGAAGAAACACTTCAATATCTTCTACTGCATAGGCCTTATAGATAAGGCTTGACAGGGAGTGATTTCCAGGACAATAAACTCTGCTTGGGGAAAACTGGCCAGATTGTGTCCAAAAGAAGGATTTTGAAGGGTTTGAAGCTCACCCTGTCGACCCTACACATGTTGTGCAATCAACTGTGGCACTGGGGAATTCCATGGGGTTGGATGTGAGTGGCCAGGATGTGGAAGAGTTGGTGGTGGACCACAATAAAGAGCTAACCACTGATGAGCTGCAAGAGCTTCATCTGCAACAGCAACAGATCACAGCTGAGGAAATTGCTTCAAAGATTAAGGAGATTTGGGCAATGTGGACTAAAGTGCATTCATTTGTGGAGGAACATCACCCTGAAAAAGCTGTTGCAATCCATGCTGGTGACTTTTACAATGACAATGCCATGTCCCATTTTAGGCAAATCTTAAAGAGACGCCAGAAACAGACCTATCTGGACAGATATTTTGTGCGACAGGGGTCCAGTGACTCTCAAGATGGTCCTAGTGACAGTAAAAAACAAAGGAGGGAAGTGACCCCAGATAAGGACTTGGTACCTACAGTCCTTATGGAGAGGATTCCCCTTCCAAACAATAACCTATTTTCCCTCTCCCCTCCTCCCTGCCTTCCTTCCAGCAACAGCAGCCTTCAATAAAGGTAAGTGACATGTTTAATGTTCATTCTTTTGTGCATGTAACTATCTTTAAGGTACAAAAAACAATTTTTTTGTTGATACTTCTGGGTGTCTGGAACAGATTAATTCCATTTACATTATTTCTTATGGAGAAAATGGTTTCGGTTTTGGCCGATTTCAGTTTTGGCCAATGGCTCTGGAACGGATTAAACATGAAAACCGAGGGTCCACTGTACTTTAATACAGTCTCTCCTCACTTAACGACTGAGCTCCATTCTTATAATGGTAGTGGGTTTGTGTCAATCATCTTTAGATATTGTTTTAATGTCAGCTTTGCACAATTTATAACATTTTTAGTATATTTTTAAATGTTTATACAGTATTGTACTGTATATTGTAATACACAGAATAGAAGAAATCAGCTCTAATATACATTACTTAGGTATGCATACTGACCAGAGAGCTGGTCATAAGTCCAAGCAGTCGTTAAACGAGTACATCGTTAAGTGAGGAGAGATCGTATAGACAAATTTTCACTGCAATAACACAACTGTTAACTTGATTAACTCAGTATTAATTTTGATCAATAATTGAACAAGCACTCCGTAACTTGAGTTTTTCAACACCACAGGTCATTTCTCACAAAGATATGGAAACTTAAAGAAGGACACACATTAACAATATTCACATCTTTAAATAATACACTAAGAGTAACTCACCAGTATATGTTGATGCAACAATTTCATCATAACCGGCATTTCCCACAATGGCACCTTGTACAGATGTGACACTCTCACTGCATGCCTAAAATATAATATGAATAAATAAAACACCTGGGAGAGTAAGAAAGAGAGAAAAAAGAAACAGGCAGTAGAAGCCATCACTATCCACTGGGTAGCTGTGAAAAATAATGCCATTGTATCCATGGAACCTAGGCAGTAGGTTGGTAGACAGCAACCACCCAGGGAGGTACTACCCTCCTGCCAAGTGAGTGTAAAACAAAAGCCTGTAATTGTTTTACACGATGGTAGGGTTGCTGGTGTCTTTTTTTGTCTCACATGTATGCAGGATTTCGTGTACATCTTGCTACTTCTACTTACACTTGGGTCACATTACACATGATAACGACATATAAAATACTGAGAGGAATTGACAAGGTGGACAGAGACAGGATGTTCCAGAGATGGGACACAACAACAAGGGGTCACAGATGGAAGCTGAAGACTCGGATGAATCACAGGAAAGTTAGGTAGTATTTCTTCAGTCACAGAGTTGTCAGAAAGTGGAATAGTCTGGGAAGTGATGTAACGGAGGCAGGATCCATACATAGCTTTAAGAAGAGGTATGACAAAGCTCATGGAGCAGGAAGAGTGACCCAGTAGCGACCAGTGAAGAGGCGGGGCCAGGAGCTATAATTCGACCCCTGCAACCACAACTAGGTGAGTATGTGCATGTACAAGTATATATATACACACCCCTCTGGGTTTTCTTCTATTTTCTTACTAGTTCTTGTTCATTTCCTCTTATCTCCATGGGGAAGTGGAATAGAATTCTTCCTCTGTAAGCCATATGTGTCGTAAAAGGGGACTAAAATGCCAGGAGCAAGGGGCTAGAAAACCCTTCTCCTGTATACATTACTAATGTTAAAAAGAGAAACTTTTGTTTTTCTTTTTGGGCCACCCTACCTCGGTGGGATGTGGCCAGTTTGTTGAAAGAAAGAAGAAGATCCATGGAAGTCCATGAAGAAGTAGAACAGAATTCTTCCTCCATAAGCCATGCATATCATAAGAGGTGACTAAAATGCTGGGAGCAAGGGGCTAATAACCCCTTCTCCTGCATATACAGTGGACCCCCGCTTAACGATCACCTCCAAATGCGACCAATTATGTAAGTGTATTTATGTAAGTGCGTTTGCAAGTGTATGTTTGGGGGTCTGAAATGGACTAATCTACTTCACAATATTCCTTATGGGAACAAATTCGGTCAGTACTGGCACCTGAACATACTTCTGGAATGAAAAAATACCGCTAACCGAGGGTCCACTGTATTACTAAATTCAAAAGGAGAAACTTTTGTTTTTCCTTTTGGGCCACGCTGCCTTGATGGGATATGGTCGGTTTGTTGAAAGAAGAAGAAAGATATCCATGGAAATGCTAAACTCATAAGTGACGTACAGCATATGTGAATAATGATCAACTCCTCAACCTGTTCACAGAGCACATTTACACACTACAGATGTGCAGAGAATCTACAAACCAAAGACCTGTCAAATCTATATGGTGAGGGGCTCTATATATACACTGCACTACATATATTATACTGTACCATATAGTACTGCACTATGTCTTCTACTTTCAACAAACTGGCCATATCCCACAGGGGCATGGTGGACCAAACAGAAAGCAAAAGCTTCTCTTTTTAAATTTAGCAATATATACAGAAGAAGGGGGTTACTAGCCACTTGCCCCCAGCATTTTAGTTGCCTCTTAAGACATGCATGGCTGATGGAGGAAGAATTCTGTTCCACTTCCCCATGGAGGTAAGTGGAAATACACAAGAACAAGAACTAGGAAGAAAACAGAAAACCCAGAGGGCTGTGTATATATATATGATTGTACATGCATGTGTAGTGTGACCTAAATGTAAATAGAAGTAGCAAAACATACCTGAAACATACCTACCATCATGTAAAATAATTATAGATTTCCATTTCACACTCATTTGGCAGGACAGTAGTACCTCCCTGGGCAGTTGCTGTCTACCAACCTACTACCCACATACTGCACTATGTATATATACTATACTTACTATAGTAGATTGTATTGTGCAGTAATAATGGATAACTAGACATTCATGATCTTCTTGAAAAATATAATCTGCACAGAAGTCTTTAAGACTTTTTTTTTTTTTCAACAAGTTGGCCGTCTCCCACCAAGGCAAGGTGATCCAAAAAGAAATAAAATCCCCAAAAAGAAAATACTTTCATCATCATTCAACACTTTCACTTCACTCATACATAATCACTGTTTTTGAAGAGGCACCCAGATACAACAGTTTAGAAGCATATATAAAGACATATAACATATCCCTCCAAACTGCCAATATCCCAAACCCCCTCCTTCAAAGTGCAGACATTGTACTTCCCATTTCCAGTACTCAAGTCCGGCTATATGAAAATAACCTGTTTCCCTGAATCCCTTCACTAAATATTACCCTGCTCACACTCCAACAGATCGTCAGGTCCCAAAAACCATGTTTCCATTCGCTCCTATCTAACACGCTCATGCACGCTTGCTGGAAGTCCAAGCCCCTCGACTACAAAACCTCCTTTACCCCCTCCTTCCAACCTTTTCGAGGATGACCCCTACCCCACCTTCCTTCCCCTACAGATTTATATGCTCTCAATGTCATTCTACTTTGATCCATTCTCTCTAAATGACCAAACCACCTCAACAACCCCTCTTCAGCCCTCTGACTAATACTTTTATTAACTCCACACCTTCTCCTAATTTCCACACTCCGAATTTTCTTCATATATACACCACACGTTGCCCTTAGACAGGACATCTCCACTGCCTTGAACCGCCTCCTCGCTGCAGCATTTACAACCCAAGCTTCACACTGATATAAGAGAGTTGGTACCACTATACTTTCTTGCATTCCCTTCTTTGCCTCCATAGATAACGTTTTTTGTCTTCACATATACCTCAACGCACCACTCACCTTTTTTCCTTCATCAATTCTATGGTTAACCCCATCTTTCATAAACTGACATGTAAACTCCCAAATATCTGAAAACATTCACTTCTTCCATACTCCCTCTCTCCAATGTGATATCCAATTTTTCTTTATATAAATCATTTGATATTCTCATCACCTTACTCTTATCTATGTTCACTTTCAACTTTCTACCTTTACACACCCTCCCAAACTCATCCACTAACCTTTGCAACTTTTCTTTAGAATCTCCCATAAGCACAGTATCATTAGCAAAAAGTAACTGTGTCAACTCCCATTTTGTATTTGATTCCCCAAAATTTAATCCCACCCCTCTCCCAAACACCCTAGCATTTACTTCTTTTACAATCCCATCTATAAATATATTAAACAGCCATGGTGACATTGCACATCCCTGCCCAAGACCTACTTTTACCGGGAAGTAATCTTCCTCTCTTCTACACACCCTAACCTGAGCCTCACTACCCTCATAAAAACTCTTTACAGCATTTAGTAACTTACTACGTATTCCATATACTTGCAACATCTGCCACATTGCTCCCCTATCCACTCTATCTTCAAGATGTTACATTTTCTCTTGTTACCACAAAGGCCATCTCTCACCAAAGTAGAGCATCTCAAAGAAAAAAAAAAGATAAACACATTCACCATCATTCATTCAATGGCAGTCTTGCCCAAAGAACAAGGACATCACAATGGCATTATTTATCAGCAAAAGACAAAAAAAACAGTGATGCCATGTATACACTTTATCTTCACTTGCATGTCAAAACATTTCACTTACCATGGAGAACCTTAAAGTTGGTTCTGATTCATCTCCATCTTCATAAGAAAACACTTCAATAGATCCATCATCTCTTCCAACAATAAGATCCCGTACCCCGTCCCCAGTCATGTCATGGTGATCCATACACGTCACACCACCATGCTGTGAGGTACTGTTACTACTCACTGTAGTGCCGCTCTCACAAACCCAACAATGCATGGCAGAGCCCCTGAAAAAATTATTTTATTTTATTATCACACTGGCCGATTCCCACCAAGGCAGGGTGGCCCGAAAAAGAAAACCTTTCACTATCATTCACTCCATCACTGTCTTGCCAGAAGGGTGCTTTACACTACAGTTTTTAAACTGCAACATTAACACCCCTCCTTCAGAGTGCAGGCACTGTACTTCCCATCTCCAGGACTCAAGTCCGGCCTGCCGGTTTCCCTGAACCCCTTCATAAATGTTACTTTGCTCACACTCCAACAGCACGTCAAGTATTAAAAACCATTTGTCTCCATTCACTCCTATCAAACACGCTCATGCATGCCTGCTGGAAGTCCAAGCCCCTCGCACACAAAACCTCCTTTACCCCCTCCCTCCAACCTTTCCTAGGCCGACCCCTACCCCGCCTTCCTTCCACTACAGACTGATACACTCTTGAAGTCATTCTGTTTCGCTCCATTCTCTCTACATGTCCGAACCACCTCAACAACCCTTCCTCATCCCTCTGGACAACAGCTTTGGTAATCCCGCACCTCCTCCTAACTTCCAAACTACGAATTCTCTGCATTATATTCACACCACACATTGCCCTCAGACATGACATCTCCACTGCCTCCAGCCTTCTCCTCGCTGCAACATTCATCACCCACGCTTCACACCCACATAAGAGCGTTGGTAAAACTATACTCTCATACATTCCCCTCTTTGCCTCCAAGGACAAAGTTCTTTGTCTCCACAGACTCCTAAGCGCACCGCTCACCCTTTTCCCCTCATCAATTCTATGATTCACCTCATCTTTCATAGACCCATCTGCTGACACATCCACTCCCAAATATCTGAATACATTCACCTCCTCCATACTCTCTCCCTCCAATCTGATATCCAATCTTTCATCACCTAATCTTTTTGTTATCCTCATAACCTTACTCTTTCCTGTATTCACTTTTAATTTTCTTCTTTGCATACCCTACCAATTCATCCACCAATCTCTGCAACTTACTCTTCAGAATCTCCCAAGAGCACAGTGTCATCAGCAAAGAGCAACTGTGACAACTCCCACTTATGTGTGATTCTTTATCTTTTAACTCCACGCCTCTTGCCAAGACCCTCGCATTTACTTCTCTTACAACCCCATATATAAATATATTAAACAACCACGGTGACATCACACATCTTGTCAAAGGCCTACTTTTACTGGGAAATAATTTCCCTCTTTCCTACATACTCTAACTTTAGCCTCACTATCCTCGTAAAAACTCTTCACTGCTTTCAGTAACCTACCTCCTACACCATACACCTGCAACATCTGCCACATTGCCCCCCCTATCCCCCTGTCATATGCCTTTTCCAAATCCATAAATGCCACAAAGACCTCTTTAGCCTTATCTAAATACTGTTCACTTATATGTTTCACTGTAAACACCTGGTCCACACACCCCCTACCTTTCCTAAAGCCTCCTTGTTCATCTGCTATCCTATTCTCTGTCTTACTCTTAATTCTTTCAATAATAACTCTACCATACACTTTACCAGGTATACTCAACAGACTTTTTTTTTTTTTTTTTTTTTATCACACTGGCCGATTCCCACCAAGGCAGGGTGGCCCGAAAAAGAAAACCTTTCACCATCATTCACTCCATCACTGTCTTGCCAGAAGGGTGCTTTACACTACAGTTTTTAAACTGCAACATTTACACCCCTCCTTCAGAGTGCAGGCACTGTACTTCCCATCTCCAGGACTCAAGTCCGGCTTGCCAGTTTCCCTGAACCCCTTCATAAATGTTACTTTGCTCACACTCCAACAGCACGTCAAGTATTAAAAACCACTTGTCTCCATTCACTCCTATCAAACACGCTCACGCATGACTGCTGGAAGTCCAAGCCCCTCGCACACAAAACCTCCTTTACCCCCTCCCTCCAACCTTTCCTAGGCCGACCCCTACCCCGCCTTCTTTCCACTACAGACTGATACACTCTTGAAGTCATTCTGTTTCGCTCCATTCTCTCTACATGTCCGAACCACCTCAACAACCCTTCCTCAGCCCTCTGGACAACAGTTTTGGTAATCCCGCACCTCCTCCTAACTTCCAAACTACGAATTCTCTGCATTATATTCACACCACACATTGCCCTCAGACATGACATCTCCACTGCCTCCAGCCTTCTCCTCACTGCAACATTCATCACCCATGCTTCACACCCATATAAGAGCGTTGGTAAAACTATACTCTCATACATTCCCCTCTTTGCCTCCAAGGACAAAGTTCTTTGTCTCCACAGACTCCTAAGTGCACCACTCACCCTTTTCCCCTCATCAATTCTATGATTCACTTCATCTTTCATAGACCCATCCGCTGACACGTCCACTCCCAAATATCTGAATACATTCACCTCCTCCATACTCTCTCCCTCAAATCTAATATTCAATCTTTCATCACCTAATCTTTTTGTTATCCTCATAACCTTACTCTTTCCTGTATTCACCTTTAATTTTCTTCTTTTGCACACCCTACCAAATTCATCCACCAATCTCTGCAACTTCTCTTCAGAATCTCCCAAGAGCACAGTGTCATCAGCAAAGAGCAACTGTGACAACTCCCACTTTATGTGTGATTCTTTATCTTTTAACTCCACGCCACAAACTTATCCCCCTATAATTTTTGCACTCTCTTTTGTCCCCTTTGCCTTTATACAAAGGAACTATGCATGCTCTCTGCCCAAACCCTAGGTACCTTACCCTCTTCCATACATTTATTAAATAACTGCACCAACCACTCCAAAACTGTATCCCCACCTGCTTTTAACATTTCTATCTTTATCCCATCAATCCCGGCTGCCTTATCCCCTTTCATTTTACCTACTGCCTCACGAACTTCCCCACACTACGACTGGCTTCTTCCTCACTCCTACAAGATGTTATTCCTCCTTGCCTATACACGAAATCACAGCTTCCCCTATTTCATCAACATTTAAACAATTCCTCAAAATATTCCCTCCATCTCTCCTAATACCTCTAACTCTCCATTTAATAACTTCCTCTCCTATTTTTAACTGACAAATCCATTTGTTCTCTAGGCTTCCTTAAATTATTTAATCTCATCCAAAACTTTTTCTTATTTTCAACAAAATTTGTTGATAACATCTCACCCACTCTGTCTCATTTTGCTCTCTTTTTACATTGCTTCACCCTCTATTTACCTCTCTCTTTTTCGCCCATAGCACTTCGTCCTCCTTGCATCTTTACTTTGTAAAAAAACTTTCCTCATATGCTAACTTTTTCTCCCTTTCTACTCTCTTTAAATCATCATTGCACTCAAATCGCTCCTCTTCCCTCCCGCACCCACTTTCCTGTAACCACAAACTTATGTCTCTGAAAACTCTAACACGACATTTTTATAACATACCCAATACCTCTTCGACCCATTGCCTATGCTCTCATTAGCACATCTATCCTCCAATAGCTGTTTATATCTTACCCTAACTGCCTACTCTTTTAGTTTCATAAACCTTCACCTATCTCTTCCCTGATGCTTCTTTTTTCCTTGATCCATCTACTTTTACTCTCAGTGTAGGCTACAACTAGAAAAGTGATGTGTTCAATCTGATTATCTTGTGGCCCCTCTATAACATGTACATCCTGAGTTCTGCTCAACAGTCTTTTATCTTACCAATACATAATCCAACAATTACTGTCATTTCGCCGCTACATCATATTCTTTTTATCACTTATTGATCCTCTTTTTCTTAAAATATGTATACCTATAACTAAACCCGTTTCTAAAAAAAGTTCAATGCAAGAAGACTTCCCATTATCATTTACACCTGGACCCCAAACTTACCTAAACACCCTCTCTAAAAAAGTTTCTCGTTATTTAGCATTAGGTTCCCCTACCACAATTAGTCTCTCACTTGGTTCAAAGGCTCCTATACATTCACTTAAAACATCTCCCAAAATCTCTCTCTCTCCTTCTAAAAATTCCTCTCTTCTCCAGGTGCAATACATGCTTATTTGACCCACTTTTCGCATCCAACTTTACTTTAATCCACTATTCTTGAATTTACACATTCATATTTCTCTTTTTCCTTCATAACTGATCCTTCAACGTTACTGCTACCCCTTCCTTTGATCCTACCTCTTTCAGATACTCCAGATTTAATCCCATTTATTTCCCCCCACCGAAACCCCCTACCCCTTCAGCTTTGTTTCGCTTAGGGCCAAGTCATCCAACCTTCTTTTCAATTCTATAACATCAGCATCATCTGTTTCTTGTCTCCGCACTACATACCACGCACATTTCGAGCATCCTAGTCTTATAAGTTTTTTTTCTTCTCATTTTTTAGTAAATTGTCTACAGGAGAATGGCGTTATAGACCATTGCTCCCGCAATTTTAGTGCTCCTCATACGACACGCATGGTTACGGAGGAAAGATTCTTTTCCAATTCCCCATGGACAATAGAAAGAAAATTAAAGAGAACAAGAGCAGTATTTAGGAAAAAGGAGAAAACCTAGATGTATGTATATATTTATATGCATGTGCGTGTCTGTGCGAAGTGTTGTGACCAAAAGGGGTTTTTGGGTAAAAAGTTGGAGTTGCCAAGATATCTGTTATGTAGCGTGTTTATGAGACAGAAAAAGAAAACCAGCAATCCTACAAACATGCAAAACAGATTACAGGAGTTACAGGTTTCTGTTTCACAGTCATCTGGGGCAGGAGGTAGTTTACTTCCCTAGGTGGTTGCTGTCTTACCAACCATAATACTGTTACTATGGTAAAAATTATTTTGGCAAATATATATGTGACTTGACTGCTTGATTTTAAAATACTACATACCCCATATTTAATGGACTAGTAGGGAAAAGCAGGTGGTGGACAGAGATGAGATTGTGTTGCCATAATTATAACAATAATGGATAATTCTGCAACCAACTGACTCTGGCCATCTCTTCTGAATCAGCTGAACTCACAGATTTTTTCCCTTAATTCCAAGGTCCATTAAATCAAGGTCTATTAAATCGAGGGATAAGAAAATATGACTTGGATTTTATTACTAATTGTTTTGATAGCATGGCAAAAAAGAATACGTACCAAATTCAGACAATGAAGAAAAATACTGGCATGGGGAAAATCAAAGCAATAAAACTCACAATACCAGGCTTTGTTATGGAATGCTGGGCCTAACTTACAGATTGAGAAGACAGTAGCTACACATTCTCACAAATGAAACGATAAGGAATCAGTTTGTTCACTAATCCAGATACTATTGACTCTGGTGGCATTTATTCTTTTCTTCCATGCTACACCTCATATTAAAAAGCTTTCACACGGTACAGCAGTGTTTCACACCCAAGTTGCTGGATGATCCATCAGTCTTTAAGGTTTATCCCACTAATAGCCTCCATGAGAACTGCAGTCCATTGAAAAATGTTAAAATATAGCTGGTCATATTTTGACCTCTGAATATAACATATCGTAATGTTCTATTCCTGTGACCACCAGATGAAATTACAAGCAGAGTTTCAACTTTTCTTCCTAAGCCGACACCATACTTGTGATTAATCAACTATTAAGAAGTGTATTTCAATAAAGGGAGTAAAAATAGGAAAAAGAAAAGGAGGAGGAGGAGGAGGAGGAAGGAAATGAGAAAAGAATGAGGAATAATAAGGAGGATGACAATGTAGAGGAGAGAATAAAGTAATAGAAATGAGACAGATGATGATCATCATCAAAGTATCAATGTATGAAACCCAAAAAAAACTTTGCAATATATTATTATAAACAGGTATAAGAAGTCTTTAAATTATGCAACAGTCATGCAGAACAATGTAAAAACTGTAATTGCAACATTTCATTTCATTCCAAAAGTAATACAAATCTTTCTTCTTTCAACACACCGGCTGTATCTCACCGAGGCGGGGTGGCCCAAAAGGAAAAACGAAAGTTTCTCCTTTTACATTTAGTAATATATACAGCAGAAGAGGTTACCAGCCCCTTGCTCCTGGCATTTTAGTCTCCTCTTACAACACGCATGGCTTACGGAGGAAGAATTCTGTTCCACTTCCCCATGGAGGTAAGAGGAAATAAACAAGAACAAGGAACTAGAAAGAAAATAGAAGAAACCAGAGGTGGTATTGTATATATTGCTTTTGTAATGTATGTGTTCTAGGTAGTAGGTTGGGTAGGACTCAGCAAGCCGCCCAGGGAGGTACTACCGTCCTGCAAAGTGAGTGTAATACTGAAGTCCTGTAATTGTTATACACGATGGTAAGATTGCGTGGCGTCTTTTTTTTTATCTGATCATACACAGCAAAGAGTCAGGTATGTCTTGCTACTTTCTATTACACTTAGGTCACACTACAGCATACATGTACAAGCATAGATATATACACACCCTTTTGGGTTTTCTTCTATATTCTTTCTAGTTCTTGTTCTTGTTTTATTTCCTCTTATCCTCCTGGGGGAATTGAAAACAGGAGTCTTCCTCCGTAAGCCATGCGGTGTTGTAAGAGGCGACTAAAATGCCGGGAGCAAGGAGGCTAGTATCCCCTTCTCCTGTATATATTACTAAATGTAAAAGGAGGAAAACATTCGTTTTTCCCTTTTGGGCCACCCCGCCCTCGGTGGGATACGGCCGCCGGATGTGTGAAAGAAAGAAACATGTATGTGTAGTTGTGACCTAAATGTAAGTAAGAAGTAGCAAGACGTACCTGAAATCTTGCTTGTTCTTAGACAGAAAATGTGCACCAGCAAGACTCCTACCATCATGTAAAACCTCAATTACAGGCTTTGTTTTACACTCACTTGGGCAGGCACAGTAACTACCTCCCTGGGTGGTTGCTGATCTAACCCAACCTACTACCTAGGAGGTAATACAAAAACGTTAAACCATACCACGGGCGGGATTTGAACCGCAGCCATGAGAGTCTCGAAAACTCCAGGACCAATGGTTAGCAATGGACCAGTGGCTAGCTGGTTCACGTGGCTAACGCAACGGTCTGGAGTTTTTGAGGACTCTCTTACCGCGGGTTCAAATCCCGCCCATGGTTGGTTTCTAATACAAATATATGGAACTCTCAAACCACTGGGACCTTCTAAATCTGCCACCAGGCCGAACTATCCAATCCAGAATTGTGCCATTACACAACTTATCGCCATTTACCACCACCATCATTGTAGAAGAGTTGAAGACTGGTTGGGGGAAAGACGGGGCTCACCCGAGTCAAACCTCAGAATTCTCTCATAACTCGAAGCAGGCGATCATCACAAGCCAGATGGGGCACTAAATGTTTATCTGTTGATTGTATTGTATAAATGAATATGCTGTTAAATTATAATACATGTTCAATAAGAAATAAAGGTATTAATAATGCAACAGGTCACTACCTTAGTGAGGAAATGACTGGTGTGCCTTCCTTGAGTACATGTTTGATATCATTAGGCTCAATTTTTACACTCAGCTCATCTTTAATAATTCAAGACTTTAAATAGTTTAGAAACTGACAAGTTGAAGAAAGAGACAATTTTGCAATATTTGGGATTTCTATTGAAGAAATGTTTCTGACCTGTATTTCTACAGTCTGTACAATCAAAGGTTAGCTGCTGCTACTTACTCTTTCCACTGGCAGTGTGATGACATCATTAATTTTATCAGCAGCTAAGTAAAAATTGGAATCTTGGCAGTCATGATAATGGTTGTAAACATAGTCTCCACACACAAGTAAATCACTACCACTGATGTGCCTGGGGAAGATAATGTGCATCTTTTAGATATGTGAAAGAGATGGGAAAGAAAAAGTTTGAAGAAAGAATATGGGGAAAAGTTGAAGGAAGGGAAAGTGAAGGATGAAAGCAAAAAGAAATGAGAAAGAAGAAAGGCTGAGAAATCACTGCAGACTGAATCCTCTTTATCTTCACAGTTCAATTTTATAACCAATTAGCTTTTTCTATGTATGTATAGTATCTCCAAAAAATTTGGATTAATGGTACCTTTTCCAGAAGTGAAAGCAACACTTAGGGAAAATCGGCACATGCAAGATATGTATTAAATTACTGGTAGCACTTGCCCCGCATGGAGACATTATGAATTACAGTGGAACTCAAAAATTGAACGTAACACATATTCGAACGTTTTGAAAATAAGACCCTTTTTTTCGGACAAACAATGTGTCCCTAGTATGAAACGCGCCCCTATTTTCGGGACCGGCCGGTACGGAACCTGTCCACTCCCATGGGGTCGTGAGCGTCTTGCTTTGTTTATGCTTGATGATGAACACTAACCTGCGCTTAATTCACAATTTTTTTACGATTATTTCATTTGTGTTTAGTGATTGTGGGACTGTGAAATAAGATGCCATGGGTGCCAAAAGAAGAAACTTGCTAGTGGTACCCTTGAGTGAGTAAAGAAGTGATAAACACCAGAGATGTGAAGAAGGAAATAACAGAAGTATGGAGTGGAATGATGTCTCAAATGCTTGTGGAGAAGAAAATACCACGCTGAGCAAGTGAAACAAGCATCTTTGCAACAAGTTCAGTGACAGAGACATGTCCCATTTAGGGAAATGTTAAAGAGGCTCCAGAAACAGAGGATTTGTGGACAGTTATTTTGCGAGAAGAGACAGGGGTCCAAGTGACTCTCAAGTTGGTCCTAGTGCATTAAAAGATCAGAGAAGGGAAGTAACCCAGGAGGACTTTACTGAAGTCTATGGGGGGGAATCTCGACTTCCAAACACTACCCCCAACTCCCTCTCTCTCTCCTTCCCTATCTTCAAGATGCCATCACCAATTTCAATAAGGTAAGTAAAATGTTATTTTATATGTATTACTATACATAATTAAAGGGACTTATAGTATTTGTTTGTATGTAAAACTGTAAATTAATCTCTATTAAATGTTTAATTTTTTGTGTGAATATTTTTTGGGTTTCTGGGAACGGATTCATGTAGTTCCCTTAATTCTTCTGGGAATATTGCTTCGAATATCAGATTTTTCGAATTTAGAACTAGGCTCCATGGAACGGAATTAAATACTCGAAATATGGTAGGTTCACTGTAAAGTTACTTTTCAGTTTAGGGAGGGAAATGTGAAGGTGGGGTGAGTGAGCGGAATATATTTGTGAGGTGGTGGAGTGGGCCAACATTATACAGAACACAGATTCAAGAGCTACATGATCAGGCCAGTGATGCTGGTCAATTAGAAGAAAAACAAAGGCAAGGAAGGAATTAGACTCAGCCCAGCAAAACACAACTAGGCAAGCACAATGGCACCCCAGTTTTAAAAAAAAAAAAAAACACCTATGATGTGTGCATTTTTTTTTTTTATTCTATTTTTCAACAAGTACGGCCGTCCCCCACAAAGCATGGTTGACCCAAAAAAGAAGAAAATCCCCAAAAAGAATAAATCTTTCATCATCATGTCAAACACTTTCACCTCACTCCACTCATAATTCACTGTTTTTGCAGAGTGCTCAGAAACACCAGTTTAGAAGAGTATACGTATAAAGATACACAGATATCCCTCCACAACTGCTAATATCTGAAACCTCCTTTAGAGTGAGGCATTGTACTTTCTCATATCCAGGAGACTCAAGTCCGGCTATATAAAAAATAACCGGGTTTCCCGAAATCCCTTCACTAAGATAGTACCCTGCTCACACTCCTACAAGATCGTCAGGTCCCAATTACCATTCGTTCTCCATTCACTCCTATCGAAACACACTCATGCACGCCTGCTGGAAGCCCAAGTTTTCGACCCAGAATAAAAACCTCCCTTACCCCTTCCTTCCAACCCTTTTTCGTGGACAACACCTACCCGCCTTCCTTCTCCCCCTTCAGATTTAATTGCTCTCCAGTCATTTCTTACTTTGATCCATTCTCTCTAAATGACCTAAACACCTCAACAACCCCTCTTCAGCCCTCTGACTAAATACTTTTATTAACGCACACTTCTCCTAATTTCCACATCTCCTAATTTTTCTGCATAATATTTACACCATACATTGCCCTTAGTCAGGAATCTCCACTGCCTCCAAACCGCCTCTCGCTGCTTGCATCCACCAAGCTTACACCCATTATAAGAGTAGGTGGGGTACTACTATACATTCCCTTCTTTGCCTCCATACGATAATGATTTTTGATCTCCATCCACATATACTCAAGCACACTTACCTTTTTTCCTTTCATCAATTCTATGATTAACATATCTTCATAAAATCCCTCCGCCGACACGTCAACTCCAAGTAATGTGAAAACATTTCACTTCTTCATACTCCTCCTCCCATTTGATATCCAATTTTTCTTTATCTAACTTTGATACCCTCATCACCTTACTCTTTTTCTGGTTCACTTTCAAACTTTCTATCTTTACACAAAACTCCCAAAAAGAACTCATCCACTAACCTTCGCAATTTTTCTTTAGAATCTCCATAAGCACTATCTTTAGCAAAAGTAACTGTGTCAACCCCCTTTTTTGTATTTTTTTCCCCAAAATTTAATCCCCCCCCCTCCCCCGAACACCCTAGATTTTTTCTTTTCCCCATCTAAAAAAATTTTAAACAACCAGGTGACATTCACACCCCTGTTAAGACCCTTTTTTACCGGGAAGTATCTCCCTCTTTTCTACACACCCTAACCTGGCCCACTACCCAAAAAAAACTCTTTACAGCATTTAGTAGCTCCACCTTTTCCATATATTGCAACACGCCACATTGCTCCCCTACCACTCTACCCTATGCCTTTTCTAAACCCATAAATGCAATAAAAACTTCCCTACCTTTTTCTAAACCTGTTCCATTATTTTTCAATGTAAACACTTGATAAACACCCCCTACCCCTCTGAAACCTCCGCCATCTGCAACCAAATTTCTGTCTTACCCAAATTCTTTCAATTATAACCCTACCGTACATTTTCGGTATACTCTAAACTTTTTTCTCTAAATTTTTTTACATCTTTTTTGCCCCCCTTCCCTTTTAAATAAAGGGACTATACTTGCTCTCTGCCAATCCCCCTGGGTCCTTCCCCTTTTTCATACTTTTATTAAAAAAAAATCCCAAACCCACTCCAACACTATATCCCCCCCTTTTTAACATTTCTGTCATGACCCCATCAGTTCCAGCTGCTTTCCCCCCTTTCATTCTACGAAAACCCTCACGTCCCCCCCACACTTAAAATTCTGCTCTTCTTCACCCTAAAGATGGTAACCCCCCTACCCGTGCATGAAATTACCACCTCCCTTTCTTCCCAACATTTAAAATTCCTCAAAAATTCTCGCCTTACCAATTTACTGTACCTCCCTCCCATCTATAACCCCCCTCTCTTTTTTAAAACGGGAAATGCTATTTTCCCAGGTTTCTTAATTGTTTAAAATCACCCAATTTTTTTTTTTTCAAAAAAATTTCTTCAGTGCCTTTCCCCCATTCATCATCTGCTCTCCTTTTGCACTTCCACCATCTTTTTTACCTTTTTTTACTCTCCATTCCTGCTTTTTTAAAACACTCTGTTTTGTAAAATCTCGAAAGCTACCTTTTTCTCTTTTATCCCCCTTTTTACTTAATAATTCCCCCAATCTCCCCCTTTCCCCTCCCCCCACCTCCTAAAACCACAAACTTCTGCATTTTAAAACTCATCCAACCCTCTTCAAACCCCCCACTACTCCTTTGCACTAGCCCGCCTTTCTGCTAATGTGCTTTATCCACCCGAATTTCCCTTTCCCCCTTTTAGTTTATACATTTTCATTCCCTCCTACTTGTTGTTGCCACCTTCCTTGCCCATCTACCCCTTTCTCACTTTAGTACAACTAAATAATGATCCGAATATAGTTGCCCCTTTATAAACTGACACCTGGAGGCACCCTAAACCCTTTTTTCCCCCAAAATAATCTAAAAAACTACTTTTATTTCATGTCATCATCCTTTTATATTTTTTTATCCTCTTTTTTATAAATATTTTTATTATTACCAAATCTTCTCTCACTAGTCAAATTTAAAGGGTTCCCATTTTCATTTTCCCCCGCACCCCAAAATTTTCCCACTACCCCCCCCCACAACATTTTTAACCCACTTTTGCATTGAAATCCCCAACCACAATACTCACCTTTTTCAAAACTCCCCACAGCATTCACTAAACATTTCCAAAAACTCTCTCCTCTACCTTCTCTCTTTTCCAGGTGTTACGCTTACATAAACCCCCTTTTCACATCCAACTTTATTTTTCTCCCATAATCTTGAATTAATACTTTTTAAAATCCTTCTTTTCCTGCCATATCTTATCCCTTTAAAATTATTGCTCTCCTTCTTTTGCTCTAACCCATTTTTAAACCCCTATCTAATCCCATTTTTTCCCCTCCACTGAAACCTCCCACCCCCCTTTACTTTGTTTCACTTTAAAACCAGGGACATCCAGCTTCTTCTCATCATAACATCCAAATCATCTTTTCTTTTTCATTTGCACAAAACCCACACAATTTTGACTTCCCCCTTTTAATTTTTCTTATTATTCTTTTTAGTAATCTTTACAGGGAAAAGGGTTACTAGCCCATTGTTTCCGGATTTTTGTTGATTTTTACAACACCCTGGCTTACGGGGAAAGTTCATATTCCACTTTCCCCCTGGATATAAAAGGAAAAATAATAAGACCAAGAACTATTAAGATAAAATCAAAGAAAACTCAGATGAGTGTGTATAAATAAACGTGTACATGTATGTGTAGTGTGACCTAAGTGTAAGTAGAAGTAGCAAGATGTACCTGTAATCTTGCATATTTATGAGACAGACAAAAGACACCAGCAATCCTACCATCATGTAAAACAATTACAGGCTTTCGTTTTACACTCACTTGGCAGGACGGTAGTACCTCCCTGGGTGGTTGCTGTCTACCAACCTACTACCTATATGAAATACTGACTACAACATTCAGAACCTATTAATTAGAGTCAGACCCACAAATATTGATCTATAATTATTATTATTATTATTATTTTTTTTTTTTTAAACAAGTCGGCCATCTCCCACCGAGGCAGGGTGACCCAAAAAGAAAGAAAATCCCCAAAAAGAAAATACTTTCATCATCATTCAACACTTTCACCTCACTCACACATAATCACTTTTTGCAGAGGTGCTCAGAACACAACAGTTTAGAAGCATATACGTATAAAGATGCACAACATATCCCTCCAAACTGCTAATATCCCAAAACCCCTCCTTTATTATAATTATTTATTATTATACTCAAAAAGAAGCGCTGAACCTACTAGGGTCATACAGCGCTGATAGATTTGTATAGATACCGATACTTGACACTAATGTGAAATACTGATCCCTGTCAATGTATGTAGTCAATTTATGCAATGCCTGCAATCAATTTCAAGAGTACTTCCACCCTTGCAGCCCAGCCAGAAGTTAGACTTCTTTACAGATTTCCTTATCAACTGGGGAACTTCAGACTGCAGACCAATATATCCATCACAGCCTGGCTAGTAAGTAAGTTAATTTAGGTATACATAAATAGTTACATAGATTATTATACATGGTAGCATATGTGTAGAAAACTTAGGATAACCCAAAAAAATCAGACAGAGTGACTTATTTCCATTGAAGTCCTGATATGATAATCACATACACATATAAAGCAAGTTTTATTGTATTAAGGACATAATACTGGTTAAAATAAAAAAAATAAAAAAAAATTACAAAGATTTCTTGACTAATTCAACTTACATGGATTTGATTTCTTCTGTTAGGTTTGTGTCAAAACCCAAGAACTGCTTCCCTTTCTTTGTATAGCCTCTCACTTCATTGCCAGATGATAAAAATATTTTATCTCTTATTGTTCCTGTTTAAAGAAAAACTTATTAGAGAATAATGCTTTGATAAAAATTCAGCAGGTATCTAATATTTTCAGTTTTTGACAGTAGAAATCTGAGTGCAGCAATCGCTGCACAAGTTCCCCAATTTCACCTATTGTTGCAAATCACTTGTATGGCAAACTGCAAAGTTATGCCCAATCAGAAGTGTAATTCTATACCTTTTCTGTATGCCAGTAGCTGTAATAAGAAAAATATTATACAGGTGTAAAACATATTACATGTGACAACTGACAAGTGCAGAGCAAAGCCAATGTTAAAATATTATGTAGGTCAGTGAAGCAAGAGCAGTGATAACTATTCACCAGAATGTAGCATTACTGCAGAAAGTATAAATCTATTTATTTTATCTGTAACAATTTAGGTTCATTTCCTTCACAGCTCAGTCTCAGACTTTACAGTGAATATTCTTAAGAAAGACTCACACATTCAAGCTTTGTCACAAACCAGTCACCTTAGAGCATTGGTGAAACGATATCTGCAGATCATGGTGCTGCTGATAACTACATGCAAGAATTTAACCCTTTGATTTCAGAAAAAAATTTAATAAATACAAATATTGGTGTAAAGTACTGTACCACAAAATTAAGATATGTAGTTAAAAAAATATATGAAAATCAAAAACAAATTTTAGTATTAAATAACAAAACAATCTATGAAGTATTTTTTATGTTAAAGTTATTTACATGCCAGAAATTAAACCTAAAAAAGGCTTACCAATAGCTCCTCCCAACTCCAAACGGGTTATGCTTTTTTCAGTCTGTGCCCTAAAACCAAACTGGACTTCTCCTCGTTTCATAGTGAAGAGCTGGATCACGCCATCATGATCTCCCACTACCACCTACATACATATGTCAATTATTTTGAAGTCAATCATATATATGAAAAGGATCCTTTTATATTCATCACTACACAATACAGTACTCCATTAATTGAGTGAACCATACACTAACTGCCCAGGTAATACAATCAAGTAACCCACATTTGACAGCACAGAAATAATGTGAGCATGTCTGATCTACTGGAAATCCTCCTCAAACATGTTATTTCCGTACCGTTGAATGTGGAATACTCAACAACATTCTATTATTATATTCTGTAGTAAACAAATTATTAAAACTAAAAAAAGATAAAAAAAATTCTAACAGAATATAAGAAATGCCTTTCTAATGAAAAAGAAACTGCAGAACTTAATGAGGAATCCTCAACCCATATAACTCATGTCTCCTGTAATATATCATAAAAGAAAGAAAGAATTGATCTGAAGATTGATTTTAAAGGTTGTGGCAGTGGAGAATAGTTATGTGGAATGAATGCTAGGAATATATGTACATAGTTGTAACTGGAGGGGTATATGTGTTTGTGGCAGTGATTTGGAGTAAAGATTTGTGGGAGCGAGATGAAGGAGTAAAGGTTTGTGGAAGTGAGTTGGAGGATTATATGTGTGTGGCGGTGAACAGGATGTGGTAATGAGTTGTGGAAAGGATGCTGGAGTGAGTTTAACAAGTACAGAAGTGAGTTGAAGGAGTTCTGGAGTTGCAATGGTGTGAGTTAGAAAGGTGGGAGCGATTTAAAAGGGTGAGAGTACGACAGAGGGAAATGGAGTGAATTGTGGATATGTATGGAGTAAGGCGAAAGGATATTTATTAAATGAAAGAGCAAGGTAGAGGTGTGTGAGTGATCTATAAGCGTATAGATCTGGAGCATATCTGGAGGGTGTTTCAGGGGTCAATGCCCCCAAAGCTCAGTCCATGACCATGCCTCGTGGTGGATCAGGGCCTGATCAACCAGGCTGTTAGTGTTGGCTGCACGTAAACCAACATATGAATCACAGCCCAGCTGGTCAGGTATTGATTTTAGGTGCCTGTCCAGTGCCTTCTTGAAGACAGCCAGGGGTCTATTGGTAAACCTCCTTATGTATGATGGGAGGCAGTTGAACAGTCTTAGGCCCCTGACACTTACTGTGTTGTGTCTTAGTGTACTCATGGGAATAAGCTGTCAAGGTTTTATAAAAAATTTCTTAAAATGAACATTATCACTGTACCTTCTGCTGTGTTTTTGGTGCGCTGTTAGGAATAACACGTAAACATCGCGAAGAGGTCAGTCCAACTTGCATATAATCTATGCGTGTCAGGTTTAATTCCATGCCAGCAATCTGAAAACAATTCATCCATATTAAACTTAATCGAGGGAAGCACTAAACCCATAGGGATCAGATATCCATATTATAATAATCAGCAAAACTTCTATTACAATGCAAGGGATGCAAACAGAAATAATTCACAGTGTCTTGATTGGGTTAGTGTGGGTTAAATCTACACTTTATTATTATTAGTATTACAATCAAAACTAAGCGCTAAACCCACAAGGGTCATACACCTATTACATTGACAGATCGATAAACCCGTAGGGGTCATACAGTGCCTGGGGGAATTGGGAGACATTCAGGTTCGATGTAAGGGAAAGGTAGATCCAATTCCCTGGATCAAAAGCTTTTCACTGGCATCAAGGTCCTTGAAGATATAAAACCAAAATAAAAAATCTTACTTAGTTAAAACTATAAGTAACTCCTTAGTCTTCTATAGCGCTCTTTCCTCCTATATTTCTATATAAACTCTCCACAATACTATACAAAACTCTTCATCACTAGCTAATTTTTTTCCTTAATTCTGCGTTTTATGTGGGTTTTTTAATTAAAGTTCCAGCGAATAACTACTCCAAAATAAGTTTTGGCTGGAATGTTTTTAACTTCCAGTGAACTTGTCTGAATGTTTGCATTATTGTGTCCGAATCCTTGCAATGTTGTGTCCGAATACTTGTATTCTTGTGTCCGAATGTTTGCATTGTTGTGGCCGAATGCTTCCGTTGTTATGCAATATGATTGCATTGTTACGTCCGTATGCTTCCATTGTTACGTCCGTATGCTTCCATTGTTACGGCAGTATGAGTTTACCTGGAGTTTACCTGGAGAGAGTTCCGAGGGTCAACGCCCCCGCGGCCCGGTCTGTGAGTACAGTAATACGTCCGAATAATTGCAATGCTATGTCCGAATGCTTACAGTGCTATGTTATATTTGCAAGGGAGAAAGCGCTAAACTGTATGGCTCGAACAGCACCTGAGAATGTAAAATATTGTGGTTTGATCCAAGTTAGGGAAGGACAGCCCATATTCATTGTATCGAGAGGTTTTCACCAGCATCAAAGGGGAAATAAGTCACCTCATTTGACTTATTTTTCTGGGGAAAGGTTTATCATTCATAAATATGTTAATATGTAAGACAGTTTTAATCATCTAAACCTGAGTAATTGAATCGAGGGTGCTCGTGTCTTGGTAGGCAAAGCTCTTGATTCACACGCTTAGAATTCAGGTTCGATTCCTGGTGCAGTTGAAAACATTAGAAAGTGTTACCTAAAGACATCTGCTGTCCATGTTCACTCATCAGTAAAATAGGTACCTGGGTGTTAGTCGACTGGTGTGGGTCACATCCTGAAAAAATTGACATAATTTGCCAGAAATGCTCTGCATAACAAGGAGCTTTCTATATAGTAGTAGTTAATTACTTAACAGAGATTCTGGTTAGTGAAGCCAATAATTTCGGTGGGTGGTTGGTGCGGCCCTGAGACCGTCACGACCAATGTAAGATAAGTTAAGATTTTGTTGGGATTTTTAGCCCCGGAGGGTTAGCCACCCAGAATAACCTAAGAAAATCAGTGCATCATCGAGGACTCTCTGGCTTATTTCCATTTGAGCTCTTAAATCTTGTCCCCCAGGATGCCACCCACACCAGTCGATTAACACTCAGGTTACCTACTTGCTGGGTGAACGGGACATCAGGTGTAAGGAAACACGCCCAGTGTTTTCATCCTTGCCGAGGATCGAGCCATAGACACAGCGTGTGAGGCGAGAGTGTTCCCTACCAGGCCACGAGCCACTTTATTTAAGCACAGGTACACCTAAGTACAATTATCACACATGTGTAAATTATCCAGGATAACCCATTAAATTGACTTATTACTATTGGGGTCCTTGTAATATCTTAATTGTGGTTGCAGGGGTCGATTCGCAGCTCCTGGCCCCGTTGCTACTAGTATATACACTGATGGGTATGTCTCTCGGTATACGACTATGGTTATAATTATATCCCTAACTTTTAAAGGGGTGGACTTGTAAGCCAGAGGAAGGCCTCGGTCAGATGACCAAAAACTCCAGCTGTGGGCCATCACATGGCGAAGACCTGCGTCAGGAAACACTTGTCCTGTTTCCTGACGAATCTTACCTAACCTAACCTCTCAGTATATATATACTCTCCCTCTTGACAGGGTATGTACACTGGAAGGTATGTGTCTCAGTGTATATACCACACCCTCACACCCTTCTTAACAGTGTACATACAGTAAGAAACAAATCTCAGTGTAGTATATATGCACCATTCCACTTAACGGGGTATATACACTGAGACATACCTTTCAACATACATACCCTGACATGAAACACTGGGTAAACCTGGAGAGGGTTTCGGGGGTCAACGCCCCCGCGGCTCGGTCTGTGACCAGACCTCATGGTGGATCAGGGTCTGATCAACCAGGCTGTTACTGCTACGTACGAACCACAGCCCGGCTGATCAGGTACTGACTTTAAGTGCCAGTCCAGAGCCTTCTTGAAGACACTAAAATGTACATTTCTCAGTGTATAAAAGCTAAGATTCCCCTTTTAATCCATATTTTAGGTATGAAAGTATATACAATAAGAGATTCCATTTTGGTTCTAATAACGGTGTTAATGACCGCTGGTTATATCGATTTTTTAACACTTCCAAGGAGCAAAGGGAACCCCTTAGATCCAAGGAATTGGATCAAGGGCCCATTTTGATCCATGGATCTGAGAAGATCCATGGATTACATGACCACCTACGAGTTAAGTGTGACCTGAGAGTCTAACACCCAGGATCAAGAGCCCCTACAGAGGTAAGAGAAGGGGACCTGAGAGTCTAACACCCAGGATCAAGAGCCCCTACAGAGGTAAGAGAAGGGGACCTGAGAGTCTAACACCCAGGATCAAGAGCCCTTACAGAGGTAAGAGAAGGGGACCTGAGAGTATAACACCCTGGATCAAGAGCCCCTACAGAGGTAAGGGGACCTGAGAGTCTAACACCCAGGATCAAGAGCCCCTACAGAGGTAAGGGAAGGGGACCTGAGAGTCTAACACCCATGATCAAGAGCCCCTACAGAAGTAAGGAAAGGGGACCTGAGAGTCTAACACCCAGAATCAAGAGCCCCTACAGAGGTAAGGGAAGGGGACCTGAGAGTCTAACACCCAGGATCAAGAGCCCCTATAGAGCTAAGGGAAGGGGACCTGAGAGTCTAACACCCAGGATCAAGAGCCCCTACAGAGCTAAGGAAAGGGGACCTGAGAGTCTAACACCCAGGATCAAGAGCCCCTACAGAGGTAAGGGAGGGGGACCTGAGAGTCTAACACCCAGGATCAAGAGCCCCTACAGAAGTAAGGAAAGGGGACCTGAGATTCTAACACCCAGGATCAAGAGCCCCTACAGAGCTAAGGGAAGGGGACCTGAGAGTCTAACACCCAGGATCAAGAGCCCCTATAGAGGTAAGGGAAGGGGACCTGAGAGTCTAACACCCAGGATCAAGAGCCCCTACAGAGGTAAGGGAAGGAGACCTGAGAGTCTAACACCCAGGATCAAGAGCCCCTACAGAGGTAAGGGAAGGAGACCTGAGAGTCTAACACCCAGGATCAAGAGCCCCTACAGAGGTAAGGGGACCTGAGAGTCTAACACCCAGGATCAAGAGCCCCTACAGAGGTAAGGGAAGGGGACCTGAGAGTCTAACACTCAGGATCAAGAGCCCCTACAGAGGTAAGGGAGGGGGACCTGAGAGTATAACACCCAGGATCAAGAGCCCCTACAGAGGTAAGGGGACCTGAGAGTCTAACACCCAGGATCAAGAGCCCCTACAGAGGTAAGGGGACCTGAGAGTCTAACACCCAGGATCAAGAGCCCCTACAGAGGTAAGGGAAGGGGACCTGAGAGTCTAACACCCAGGATCAAGAGCCCCTACAGAGGTAAGAGAAGGGGACCTGAGAGTCTAACACCCAGAATCAAGAGCCCCTACAGAGGTAAGGGAGGGGGACCTGAGAGTCTAACACCCAGGATCAAGAGCCCCTACAGAGGTAAGAGAAGGGGACCTGAGAGTCTAACACCCAGGATCAAGAGCCCCTACAGAGGTAAGGGAGGGGGACCTGAGAGTCTAACACCCAGGATCAAGAGCCCCTACAGAGGTAAGGGGACCTGAGAGTCTAACACCCAGGATCAAGAGCCCCTACAGAGGTAAGGGAAGGGGACCTGAGAGTCTAACACCCAGGATCAAGAGCCCCTACAGAGGTAAGGGAAGGGGACCTGAGAGTCTAACACCCAGGATCAAGAGCCCCTACAGAGGTAAGGGAAGGGGACCTGAGAGTCTAACACCCAGGATCAAGAGCCCCTACAGAGGTAAGGGAAGGGGACCTGAGAGTCTAACACCCAGGATCAAGAGCCCCTACAGAGGTAAGGGAAGGGGACCTGAGAGTCTAACACCCAGGATCAAGAGCCCCTACAGAGGTAAGGGAAGGGGACCTGAGAGTCGTGTCAGCCCTTAACTCCAACACTAACAACACATCTGGCTCCATCAATGAAGAAAATTCCCTTGAAATTATTTTTTCAGAGTTGTAATAATTTTTTTCCTGCACTTCAGCCCATGGCGAAGATGAAATAGTATTATATATTCCTCGTGATGAAGGCAAGTATATATTACGTTGAGTTATACGAAGATTTTTATATATAAGATTTTGAAGGAGTCCTCAATGGATTTTACGTAATATAAAGTAATTGCAATTACATTAGTTTTTCATTTAGTGATTTTAATTGTGATGTACATCAGGCTGTTTTTAAATTATTATTATAAAGTATATATAACTCAGACAGACATTGACTTTTTATTTTATATATATATATATATATATATATATATATATATATATATATATATATATAATATATATTTTATATATATATATAATATATATATATATAAATATTTAAAGTCATCATATGTCACCGTACATTTTAATAACATTTTACAATGTAATATGATTCAAGTCTTTATTCTAATTATATATATTCTGTAATACTTTTATGTGTGTCTTTTATTAATATATGACATAAAAAAATATGTGCTAATTTCAGCTGTTATTACAGTATTATTTAATTAAAAAGTGTCTTATGATCAGATATATTGGATATTTTCTTAAATTTGTTTGCAAAAAATACAATATAGTATGGAAATAAGACACTCTGTCCTATTTTTTTGGTTATCCTGGGTAGTTTACACCTATGTATGATAATTGTACATATGTGTACCTTAAATAGACTTACTTAGAGTCGATGTTGAAAATCTATCCAGCGTTGACGGAATTAGGGCAAGATAAAAAAATAATTATATTTGGATTATTAGCCCAGAGGGCTGGCCACCCAAGGTAACCCCATAATGTCAGATTTTTTTGGGTTATCCTAGGTAATCTACACATATTCTGCTATGTATGATAATAGTTGTAACTGTATTTACGTGTACCTGTACCTAAATAAACTTACTTCGGTGTGTGAGCTGAGGATATTATCAACCTAGCCATATTTGCTGCTTCAGTAATGTCTGCATCCATTTATAAGGCAGAAATAACATTAACTTAACAGCATGCACTGTAAAAAAAAAACAGCTGCAACTTTTGGATATACTGTCACCATGTGGTTACCTG